CATAGACACTTGGTTTAAAAAGCAGAAATTTATTTTCTCACAGTTTTGAAGGTGGGAAGTCCAAGAAGGTACTGACCAATTCAGTTCCCCAGTGAGGACTCTCTGCCTGGTTTGTGGAAGGCTGCCTTCTTGCTGTGTTCTCACATTAGTAGAGAGAGAGCGTGAGCTCCTGTCTCTTCCTCTTCTTACAAGGACACTAGTCCATTGTGGGTCCCACCCTCATGACCTCATCTAAACCTCATTACCTCCCAAAGGCCCTACCTCTAAATACCATTACATTGAGGGTTAGGGCTTTAACATATGATTTTGGGGACATAAAACATTCATTCTATAGCAGTTCCAAAGCCAATAGCTTCCCTCTCTGTCCCTGACACTTTTTCCCCTCCCTCCCCTGTAGGGAATCATTATTTTTAGTGTTTGGTTTATTTATCCATTGTTTCTTTTTGAAGATATAAGCAAATATATACTCATAATAAATTTACATATACCTATAGAAACCAAATCTATTTTGTTTCCCTCCTTCCCCATTTCCTTACACAAAAGGGAGCATTCTACAGCCTGGTGAATATACTAAAAAAAAAACAAACCCACCAAATTGCATATTCTAAAAGAGTGAATTTTATGGTATGTGAGTTACATTTCAATCTTTGTTTTGTTTTGTTTTGTTTTGAGATAGAGTCTCACTCTGTCACCCAGGCTGGAGTGCAGTGGCCTCATTGTAGCTCACTGCAACCTCAAACTCTTGGGCTCAAGTGATCTTCCTGCCTCAGCCTCCTAAGTAGCTGGGACTACAGGTGCAGGCCACCATGCCTGGCTAATTTTTCTATTTTTTTTTGGTAAAGAAGGGGTCTCGCTCTTATTCAGGCTGGTCTCAACTCCTGGCCTCAAGTGATCTTCCTGCCTCGGCATCCCAAAGTGCTGGGATTACAGGTGTGAGCCACTGCGCCTGGCCTATATTTCAATCTTTTAAGGACGTGTACTGTAAACACTGTTATATGTCTCATTTTTTTCATTTAACTATTTGGAGATCACTTTATATCCCTTTAAAAAAATTGTTTTTTCATTTTTCCTTATCATGGGTACATTATAGGTGTATATCTTTATAGGGTGCATGCGATGTTTTGATAAAGGCATACAATCTATAATGATTAAGTCAGGCTAATTGGGGTATCCAACACCTCAACCATTTATCCTCTCTTTGTGTTAGGAACATTCTAATTCCACTCCTTTAGTTATTTTAAAATATATGATAACTTACTGTTGACCATTGTCACTCTGTTCTATAAAACACTAGATCTTATTCATTCTGCCTAACTGTATTTTTGCACCCATTAACCATTTCCACTTTACCCCCCACCCCGCCCTGTGTCCCCTGCTACCCGTCCCAGCCTTTGGTAACCATCATTCTACTCTCTATCTACTCTCTGTGGTTCAATTGTTTTAATTTTTAGCTCCCACATATGAATGAGAACATGTGAAATTTGTCTTTCCATGCTTGGCTTTTTTCACTTAACATAATGGCCTCCACTTCCATCCACATTGTTGCCAATGACAGGATTTCATTCCTATTTATGGCTGAATAATATTGCATTGTGTATATGCACCACATCTTCTTTATCTGTTCATCTGTTGATAGACACTTAGGTTGATTCCCAATCCTGGCTATTGTGAATAGTGCTGCAGTAAACATGGGAGTGCAGGTATCTCTTCGATGTACTGATTTTCTTTCTTTTAGATACATACCTGGCAGTGGGATTGCTAGATCATATGGTAGTTCTATTTTTAGTTTTTTGAGGAACCTCCATACTGTTGTCCATAGTGGCTGTACTAATTTACATTCCCACCAACAGTGTACAAGGGTTCCCCTTTCTCCACATCCTTGCCAGCATTTGTTATTATCTATCTTTTGAATAAAGCCATTTTAGGGGGTGAGAATTTATATCCCTTTAAGAGCACTTTCTCATTCCTCTTAACTGCTATGTTATACTCCATTTCTTCTTAACTTATTCAGCCAATCCCCTGTTAGTGGGCATTTGGGCTGCTTCCACTCTTAGCTATTGCAAACAGTGCTGTAATGAAAAGCCTCGTGTGTGTGTTATTTCATATTTTTGAAGGGTGTCCTTGGGTTAGATTCCTAGATATGGGATTGCAGAGTAATTGCCGTGGAGTTTTGTTTAATATTGCCAAATTCCCCTCCAGAGGGGCAGTAGGATTTCATTCAGTGCTTTCTTAAGTCTGACCTAAGTCCATGCTGCTGCAGTACCTGTTCATCTTTGACTTCCCCTGGGCTAGGAGAGCACGATCAAGTCTGTGTCTACTCTTGTGCATCTCGGGGGACCTGGGCAGGCTGAGCACAGGGTAGGTTCAGATACCCCCTCACCTTCTCCATTCTTCCCCTTCCCCAGCTGGATCCTGTTTGATGAGAAGAACTTTGAGGGTGACCAGCACATTCTCTCTGAGGGCGAGTTCCCCACTCTCACGGCCATGGGCTGCCTGGCCTCCACAGTCCTGGGCTCTCTCCGGAAGGTACCCCTGGTGAGTCTTCCTGTCCAGTTACAGGCAACCCTGGAGGCAGAGGTTGCTGCAGGAGGTTCTGGGCACAGACCCTCTTCTCGCTGCCTAGTGAGCTTGTGCGGGGGTTGAATTCCATCTTTTTCAGAACTGCCCAGGTCTCCTTGACTCTGGGCTTCAAAGCCAGTTCAATTTACCACTATCCATTGAGCACCCACTAAAATGGGACCTGAGGACACTGCACAAAATTGGACACACCTTGCCTTCAAGGAGTGCATGGTCACATGGCCATAAAGATTACACACAGAGTGGGGTATCCAGATACAAAAGTAGTGCAGGGATGTTAATTAGCACTCAGGTGTTAATCTCTCCCATCCCTGGAGCAGGGGCCAGCGCTGCCCAGGTGTTGGTCCCTGCAGGGAGGAGTAACAGGACCAACTAGGAAGTTGGCTCTGCTGCAGACGGGACAAGGCAGTGGGGTTGCTGCTATAGCGACCCAGAATAGATGGTGGTACCCTGGACCTGGGAAGAGATGGATGGAAGTGACAGGGACCAAAATAAAGATCTAGCATCTGTAGGACTTGGTGACTGACTGTGTGGGCAGCACCCTGTCAGAACAGCTGACGCTTACTGAGCACATAGCATGCGCCATGTGGCATTTAAAAGGCTTCCCATGGACTAAGACCTTTAATCCTTACCACAATCCTAAGAGGTGTGTTACCATTATTATCTCCTTTTCCAATTGTAGAAACTGAGGCACAGAGTGGTCTAGCGACTTGCTCCAGCTCACACAACTGGTGACAGGCAGAGCCAGGTCTGTCCCCAGGCAGCAGGCTCCAGAGTCCAAGCCCCTTACAACAGTATGTTGGGCTCTGAAGACAGACCTGGTTCTGAAGCCCAGCTTTAGGGCCTTGAAAAAGCAGTTTACCCTCTCCAGCCTCAGTTTCCCCTCCATTCAATGGGGGTAATAATAGGATCTACCTTATAGGGTTGTTGAAGTGTTATAATGAGATCAGATAAAAAGCGCTTAGCACCGAATCTGGCATGTACTAAGACCCGAAGAAATGAGAAATGCCGTCATCACCAATATTGTTTCTATGTTGATGATGACAAGGAGGGGATATAGAATAGCCTCAGGTTTCCAGCCTGGCTGTTGGTTCTTGAAAGTGCCGTTTACTGGAAAGGAGGTTTGAGGGGGAACCCTGGGCCCAGTCTGGCACATGCATTTGAGGATCCGGGACACTCAGCTGGCAGCGTCCAGGAGTCAGTGGCCCTGTGGGACAGAGCTCAGGAGGGAAGAAGGCCTGAAGTATACAGCTGGGAGTCGGGTGTCTGGGGCTGGGGGGCTGTCGGGACTCAGGCTCTCATGGCCTCACCGTCCTCCGTGCCCTGGGCCCCCAGTACTTTTCAGAGCCCTCCATCTTCCTGTATGGACTCGAGTGCTTCGAGGGGAAGGAGATTGAGCTCAGCGGGGAGGTGCGGAGCCTGCAAGCAGAGGGCTTCAACAACCACGTGCTGTCCGTGCGGATCAAGGGGGGCGTGTGAGTGCGCTGTGGGGAGGCTGGGATGCAGGGGCAGCCAGGATGCAGGGACGGCTGGGATGCAGGGACAGCTGGCAGGGAAGAGTAGAGGGAGGAGATCCCAGAGCCTCTGGCCTCTCCCTAGTCCCACTTCTGCCCGCTCCCCTCAGAGCCGGGAAGGAGGGAGTTGCGGACTGAGAAGGGCCCCTGGCCGGTGGGCCTCTCAGGACCTACTTTGTCCTGCAAACCCCCAACCTACTTCCCAGCCTCCTCCTCCTGCTTCAGGACCCTAATCCCACGCAGTGGGGTCCCAGCATGAGAGAAGAGGGGGTGGAGAATGTTCTGACATCCCTGCCTCCTCCTCTTCCTGTCTGTCTCTGTGTGTGTGTGTCTGTGTCCCTGTGTCTCTGGCACCTGCTGGGCCCAGCTGGGTGCTGTGTGAGCATAGCGACTTCCGGGGCCGCCAGTGGCTGGTAGGCAGCTGTGAGATCACCAACTGGCTGACCTACAGCGGCACGCAGCGGGTGGGCTCCCTCTACCCCATCAAGCAGGTGAGTGGTGCGTCTGGGTGGGCCTGTCTGGGCGTGTGTCTATCTGTGCGTTTCCCAAACACAGCATTTGTGTACTTTTGTCACAGTTTTTGCCACATCATCATTCCTCTTAAACCATTATCTACTTAATATTTTTCTCTAAATCAACTCACTTTTTTACCTTATCCTTGTCCTAAGGAATAATATCCATAAAGTCATGAGTTTAATGTATATGTATGATTTTTTTCTTAATAGACATTATAATAAATACATTACCATTAAATTTGCAAAAATAAGTTTATCCACATAGGACTAAAAATGATCTCACATGCCACCAACTGGTAGTAACCACACGTCACTTGGGGCAACACCATGTCTACACGTGTGTTTCTGTCTATCTGTGGCTGCACGGTGGGACGTGGGTCTCATTTATGCACACATGCAGTTACGCAACAGCACAGCCATGGGCTCTGTGTGCGTGTGTCGGCAGGTATGTGCCCATCGGAGGGTACTGCGGTGCCCATGATATTATTTGTGTCCATGCGTCTGTGTGCTCTGGCGATGACCTGTGTGTGTGTGCGTGTGTGTCTGTAGGAGCGTATTTATGGCTGTGCATGCTTGCACCTGTGACACTGCTAAGAGTGTGTGTGTCTCTGAGGATATTTGTGTAGTCGCTGTATTCCACTCTCGTAACACGAGTGCTGGAAGAAATCTTGGAGGTTATCGCCGCTCCTCACATTTTACAGATGGGGAAGTAAAGGCCCAGAGACGTGGACAAGGATTTGCTCTGCAATCTTGGGCAGGCACTATACTTCCTCGGACCTCCATTTCCTCATCTTTAAAATGGTGACAATATGTGTCATGGGTTTGTTTTGAAGATTAAAGATAAATAATGTATGTAAAATCCTTAGAACAGTGCTTGAGTGGGTAAGCACTCAACAAACATTAGCTGCGATTATTATTATTATTATTATTATTATTATTATTACTGTCGCCACCATCTAAGACCTCCAGCTGATTTGTGGCAGGGCCAGGTCCAATGTCTATAGCCCAGTGTCCGCCCCAGTGGGGCCCTCTTCAGCATGGGCCTGTGCACATCTGTAGTTCTACACACAGCTGTCCTTGCAGCAAACAGAGGTGCCTGGCACAGAGGTTAGGACTAATTGGTTAGGATGTGTGACTTTGTGTGGCTGCGTGTATCCAGCGTTTGTGTTTTCTGTGAACTTCTGTGCTACCACGTGGACCATGAGTGTATCTGTCAGTTCGTCCATATCTGTGGGTATCTATGAACATGCAACTGTGTGTGCGCGTATGACGCGCATGCCCTCCTTATGTGTATGTAGAAACGGTGACTTAGAAGCAGGGTCAAGGAAAGTTTGGAGGCAGGAAGGAGGACTTGGGACCTTGACACTGGAGAGTCCAGAGTTGAGGGTACTGGGGGCCCAGGTTGGGGCATCCCTGCCCGGGACCCCTGACTCAGCCTCTCCCCACCACCAGCGCCGGGTTTATTTCCGCCTCTGGAATGCAGCACTGGGGGGATTCCTGGCAGTGCCGGACCACGTGGAGGACATGAAGGCAGGCCGCGTGGTGGTCTCCGATCCCCGAGCTGGAGGCAGCTGCATCTGGTACTACGAGGATGGGCTGCTGAAGAACCAGGTACTGACGTAGGGGCTAGGACAGGGACACACAGGCCCTATGCATGTGCAGGCCCACCTTGGGGAGTGCCAGCCCAATCGGGGACAGGACGCACCCTCGGGCCACAGATGCAGAGAGATGTACACAGAAGCCAGGACCCTGGGGAGGCTGTGTACCCTGCATTCTCTGGGCAAGTCATACTCTTCTCTGGGCCTCAGTCTGTAAAACAAGAGCATTGAACCAGATGCTTCTAAGGCAGTGGTCCCCAACTGTTTTGGCACCAGGGACCAGTTTCATGGGAGACAATTTTTTCCATAGACCAGGGGTAAGGGGGTGGAGTGTCGTGGGGAGGAGGGAATGGTGTGGAGCTCAGGCAGTGATGCGTGGCCCACTTCCTAGCAGACCACAGGCCTGGACCAGGCTGTGGCCCAGGGGTTGGGAACCACAGTTCTAAGGAACCCCCTAGCTCTGATATCCCATGACAGAACTTGAATCCTGTTAATAATAATAGATCGACTCCACAGACATTTCCTGAGCTCCTACTATGTACCAGGCCCTGTTTTAGGTGACAGGGATACAGCAGTGAGAAATGACTCCTGCCCTCTTGAAGCTTGCATCCTAGTGGGGAGAGACAGAAACAACTTATTTAAAGTAAAATATCTTAGTGTCTTAGAGGATGAAAGTGCAAAAAAGGAAGGAGAAATCAAGAAAGGAGAATAGAGAGTATCAGGTAGCACTGACAAGGGGGGCCCTTCCTGAGAAGGTGACATTTGAGGGAGGCAGCTGTGCAGATGTCTGAGGGAAGAGCATTCCAGGCAGCGGGAACAGCAAGTGCAAAGCCCCTGAGGGGGGAACATGCCTGGCATTTTCTAGGAGAAGCAAGCCTACCTGAGTGGCTGGAGTGAAGTGAGTGAGGGAGGTAGCAGGAGATGAGGGCAGAAAGGTTATGGGGAGTGGAGGTCTTTGTAGGCCATTGAGAAGTTTTGTCCTTTCCTTGGCATGAGAGAGAAGACTATGTGTGAGGTGCCCTTCACACGAATTTCTCCTATAATCCTTAGTCTAGAGCACTACAGGGCAGGTCCTATTATACTCCCCATTTTATGGTGAGAAAACCAGAGCACAGAGAGGTTAAGTATTTTGCTGAAAGTCACACAGCCAGTAAATGTGTGCAGGTTTGTCTGATGCTAAAGCCTGTGTTTTGGAAGTCAATGATGGAAGGCTTCCTGGAGGAGTTAATATTTTTCCAGCCCTGTTATGGTTTCTCACATTGAACCCTCACAAAAACCAGCCTTTGGAAACTCCCATCCCCAAGTAAACCGAAGCTCAGAAGGGTTAAGAGACTTGCCCAGGGTTTCGATCCATAGAGCCAGGATTCAAAGCCACATGTGTCAAGGGTGTCTTGGGTACGGTGGAGGCCCTGTGCGGGGAGCAGTGCCTGATGACCTCCTGGGGCCTCAGGTGGCCCCCACCATGAGCCTGCAGGTGATCGGACCCCCCAGCCCAGGTTCCAAGGTGGTGCTGTGGGCTGAGAGCCGCCTGCCGCGCCAGACGTGGAGCATCAATGAATCAGGCCACATCTGCAGCCAGATGTTCGAAGGCCAGATCCTGGATGTGAAGGGTAATGTGGGGTGTGCATGGGAGAGGGCCTCTGAGGGGGCTGAAAGCAGTGGGGTCCCCAGTTCTGACTGTCTCCCCATCTCTTACTCCTCCACCTCCAGGTGGCCGGGGCTATGACCGGGACCATGTGGTGCTATGGGAGCTGGCCAAGGAGAGGGTGTCCCAAATCTGGACCATCCACGTGCTTTGAACGCCTCTCACCCCCAGCCCCGGCGGCGTTTGCTGGGATGAATGTTTTTATAGAGTTTTTGTTGTAACATAAGCTATTTTCTAATATGCTTCCAGGTGTCCTCATCTTTGTGCACCTTGATATTTGTGGGCAGGGTGGAGATTTGTGCACCTGCCGCCTTCTCCACACACTCAGGCTGGCAGCTTTCCTCGGCTCCAGCTTTGGGGGCAGATGTACTGCCTCCCTCTGCCACCAGAAGGAGCGCTGGGACTAGACTGCCTGCAGAGCGTGTCTTGGGCAGTCACCCAGACGTTGTGTTCCTTGAGCTTGCCCTGGGTGGGGTCTGCACTGGGCTGTTCCGCCCTCCCGGAACTCGCAGTCCAGGATTCGACAGGTAGGGTGATGATCGCGACAGGGTAAGAACAGAAGTGGAGGGACGCACAGAGCCCGAACCTAAACCAGCTGCCTGGAAGAGGGGCGCTCAGCTGAGAAGTAGAAGTAGAAAGCAGTTAGCCAGGTTAGAGGTGGCAAGGGGAAATGTTCTAGGATGCAGACAAATCCAGGGGTGAAAATATAGAAGTTGAGTGTGCCAGGCAAGAGAGCTGAGTGGGGGCCACACCCCAAAGGGCTGTGCCCTCAGGGCTCCACTCTACTTCCCCCCAACTCTGGTCTCAAGGTCTAAAGGTTTGGCCTCAGTCAAAGAAGCCAGGACAGGGGGGCTGGGTCCCTAACCCAGCTCAGAGAGGACAGGACACAGAAGAGGAGGAGCTCCCTCTGTCCCCCGAGGTCCTCAAGGAAGAGGCTGAAATGGGAGGGGCCCTTGGGGGCTGCTCTGGGCCTCCCTTCACTCCCTGCAGCTCCCAACTGCACACCCCAAGCCCAGGAGAGTAGGAATGGTTAGAGCAGCCGTCTGTCCTTACCGCTTTCCCAGCCAGTGGGTAGGGGGTGGGGCGTAGAGAGCTGCCCTGTCATCCTTCTACAGCCCCCAGTTGCTTGTGGGGTGGATTTTCTGGGGACCCAGAGAATGGGGGGGTGTATTCCTGGGACTGAGGATCTCCCTGGATCTGTCACTCTGGGGACACCCAGTACTGGGGTAGGGGCTGTCTGGGCCTGGGATGTCCAAGGTCTGGGGGCAGGGTGGTGGGATCTCTGGGACCATCATTCCCAAACACCTAGTGCCAACTAAAGGAAATGCACCTGAAGGAGTTGGTGAGGACGCCAGGCTCTGGGCTGCAGCCCTCAGCATTGGGCTGTGGGCTCCCTGGCGCCACTTCCCTGCTGGCGGGGGCCTGGGAAGCTCCTTGGTGCTGTTGCACATCTGGCTCTCGGGGCTCAGCAATATCCAGTAACCACACACAGGAGCCCACTCCAAGTATGAAGATAACTTTATTGACCCCCGGTTGGGGGCTGCCTGCCCTGCCTCATCAGTACTGCCCCAGTTTGGCCATGGCCCCCACAGCCCTGCCTGTCGATTGCTACAGCCTGGTGATCTCTGGCATCGGCCCCTCCCAAGTATCAGGAGGGATTCTCTTGCTAGTGACTGTGGCAGCTGTTTCGGGGGGCTGGGGCACGTCACCTCAGCTGAGGTGGAAGAGGTGTATCAGGGTGTTGGTCAAGAAGAAAAGGAAGCTGCCTCCGCCCACATCACGGAACGCCAGGACCTCGTTACCACTGCTGGTCTCGTTTCCCAAGACTCCGGTTTGTATCTGCAAGAGGAGAAGCAGGGGACACTCAGGGGGCACGTTTGAATCTCCTGCTCATTATTTAAAGACACAGTCCTCTCCTGCAACTGCATAAAACAGTCCTCAGCTCTGTCCCACATAACCACGACTTACACCACAAGGTCCTGTCGGGATGTTTGGCTGATTCCTGCCTTGACAAGGGGAGGGACAAAAGTGCTCCCTGGCCCATCCCCCACAGAACCTTTCCTGTCCTCTCTCCCAGGCCACCAGCCCCTCCAGCCAGCGGACAGGGAGACAGGGAAGCCTGAGCCCTTGACCTTACTAGCCCAGCAAGGGGCTTGGCCTCCGAGCTCGGTTTCCTCACCTTCCGAATCGGGAGAAGATCATTGCAGCTGTGAGGGTCACATGACCTGGGGCTGAGTGAGAAGCACTTGGCCAAGTGTGGGTGGGTGTGTGGGAGGGGGGCAGGGAAATGGCCAGATGGTGATCAAGCTGTCCTTAATGCTTGATCAAGCTACAACTAAAGCTGCCCTGGATGGAGATTAAGCTGTTTTTGATGGCAATCAAGCTGTTCTTGATGCTCGAGCAAGCTGTTCTTGATCAGGAATTTGATGGCCCCTGTCTCCCACACTGACTCATGTCCCTGGGCACATGGGGGAGGGTGCTACCGAAGCTGCCTCCTGCAATAGCAGTTGGTTTTGAGACTCCAGCTGTTTCCGCAGTGGGAGAGTTCTGGATTTCCAAGTATCCGGACTTCTCTCTGGCGGGGGACTAGTGGGGGCGATGGGAGTCCCCCACCACCTCCAGAACCAGAGCAGGCTCCACTTGGACATCTCCTGGCCCTCCAGGACCATCTCCACAGGCTCCCTGTGGGTCCGTGCCATTCTCACTCAGGGCTGTCTTCCCAGGGTTCCTAATTCCCTATTATCCCACAGCACCCCTTGGGTGCCTCAGCGTGCCTAGCACCCTGTAAGTGCTCCCAGCTGTGGATTCAGGCTTCTATCAGGCACAGCCCTCAAGCAATCCAGCCCCAGCCAGAAGGGCTAGAAGGCTGAGCAGCTGGGTCCCTTGCATCCCTGGTTCCCCCGGTGGGGCCTTTCTGCCTCTACTCCCCAGGGAGAAGGCTGGGTCTCTGGGAGCCTGTGTTTCCTCCTGCTGTGCCACGCAGGTTTGGGGAGTGCCAGGGGCTCTGAGAGACTGCTCTTACCTGAATCATAAGCAGGAGGCTGATGGTGAGGAAGAGGAAGAGGAAGCCCTTCATCTCGGGAAGATCTTGGTGGCTCTCTTGGTAGCAGCTTTGGCGATGAGCGCGATGAGCAATGAATGAGGGCGCGGGGCTGTGTGCAGTCCTCTGTCGGCTGCTTTTGAACCTGGGGTCAGGGGAGGCGGGGTAGGGGAGAGAGAGGAAGGAGGGCCTACAGGGTGGGGGAGGGTGCTGCTTCCTTTCTACAGGTCTCAGGGTTAATGACAGCAGGCCCCAGGTTCTAAGGCGATGAGTTCTGGAGAGGGAACAGGCCAAAACAGGGCTTGGGCTTGGTGCCTCCTGGGCGGAGTCTCATCACTTAACAACTCGAGACCCTGGGCCAGAAACTATAGCTCTCTGGGCCTTTCACAAAAGAGCTGCTGGAGGATTAAATGTAATAATAACCCATTTAAAAAGAATGCATAGTAAATATTCTATAAATGGGTTTGTTGTTAAAGAAGATTGCGGCAGTGGACAGGAGCTGAAGGAGAAAGGTTGGCATAGATTTAGGATTCAAGATAAGGTTGTAGATCGATTGCAGGTTCTGAATGAAGGTTTGGAGAGTATTTATTTATTTAGAGACAGAGTCTCACTCTGTTGCCTGGGCTAGAGTGCAGTGGCATCATCATAACTCACAGCAACCTCAAACTCCTGGGCTCCAGCGATCCTCCTGCCTCAGCCTCCTGAGTAGCTGGGACTGCAGGTGCGGTTTTGGGCCTTGTGTTACAAGCCCAGGAAAGACCTGAGTGGACCCTTAGGGGCCTCTAGCCCCTGGCCGAGGCCAGCTCAAAAGGAAAGAACTGAGGTCAAGACTGATAAGAGGAAGGAAGTGGAAAGGGAGGAGGCAAGTGGTAGGGAGGGAAGAGGAAGGAGCCCCCAACCACCGATCACTCCCACCCGCTCTACTCCTTGACTTGGAGGTCTCTCCTGATTGGTGACTCAAAACTTCTAAGCTGTCTTTGGTGTACCTGTGGGGGTGGGTGATTCTGGGAGTTCATGAGAACCAGGGAGGTGGCAGGTGCCAGAGGGCACTGGCCCAGGAAACAGGAAACATGTTGAAGTCCAAGATTCCTCTGCTGAAAATTGGTTCTATCACACTGGGCAATCTTCTCCCCTCTTGCAAAGAGGCAGGTGGGCAGGCTAAGCCCTGGGGCAGCGTGTTGTAGTTTCTCTGTGCTGGAGATGAGTGTGAGGATACCAAATGCCAGACTCATTTGTAAACATTTTCTTGCAAACCCCAGAAGCTTCATTTTCAATTCCTGACACCCTGCTGTGTTGTGAAACTGAGCTGGGGGGTGTGTGTGTGGCGGGGGGAGGGGGCAGTCCTGAGGGTGCTGGAAGGGCTCTTAAGGGTCATCAGGACTTGGGCCATGAAAGGACATCTGGAGTCTGTCAGTACCTGAGGAAGGCAGTAGGGGCTTCAAGCCTTCTCCCCTGCCCTCTGAGCAGTTACATTCTATCTGGATAACATCTGAATAGGCAGGATCCTGGCCACAAAACTTAAAGAGCCCTGGGAAACCCCCATTTTCTAGATGGGAAAACTGAGGGCCCAAAGAAGGGCAGGTGAGTGGCAGAGCTGGGGGTAGAACCTAGATCTCCCGACTTGCATGTCTCACTATCCACCTTCGCCAAACCTGACATCTTAACCTTAACTAGCAAGATGGGAAATCTCAGTCCACACCCCCTGCAGCTCTCCAGGGATCAAGACCAAACTCCTTAGTGTGACAACCAAGGCCCCTGCCTTCCTCCCCAGCCTCCCGTCTTGGGTTCTCTAACCTCCCCCGACCCCCATCTACACCACCTCTTAGCCCTCAGCCACACCCACCTTGCGTCTGCCAGCTGCCCCTGACTCTTTGACAGCCCATGTGTTTGCTCTTCAGGGAAAGCCCTTCTCCAGGTATCTACCTGGCAAACTCCTGCTTATTCCTCTTAGCTCAGAAGGGGAAACTTTCCACTTCCCCTGGGAAACTCCCTCCAAGAGGGGGAATTTTTGCTCAGTGTTCCAAGAGCCCCTTCTGTTGATCTCTGTTCTAAAGATCGTGTCTGCCAACAGGAGGGTCTGGTCCCTTGAGGGTTGGGAGTAGGTCTTGTCACCTCTTACTCAGCACAGCACAGAACATGCCAGAGAGAACAAGTGCATGTAACAGGATGTAAATGAGCGTAACCCACCTCCAAACCTCGCGGGCCTGCGTCCATACATTCAGTAAATATTTATTATGGGACAATAGCACAGTCAGTATTGAAGAGTTACCGGTGCAGAAGAGAATTAAGGGGCTGAAAGACGTGAGCCCTTCACTTAGGCTGCTTTTCTCCCTTGCAGAAGACACAGCTGAGAAACTGAGCAGTGCTTTCTACAAATGGGGCTGGGGGAGAAAACTATAGTTCCAAACCCTGTAAGAAAGGGAGGCCCTGACAGACTCTCCCACTGGGCTTTGGGTTGGGACCATGAAGGGTTACACCTTGAGGAATAAGAGTGTACAGGAAACAACAGCCCAGCCCTCACGGAAACTGAAGACAACACGACCACAAAAACAAGTGAAGCCAACAGATATAGAAAGTTACACAGAAGATCCAGGTAATGAATGGTCAATCAAACGTCCACAGAACTGTGCTTGAATTATTCAAAGACATAAAAGATGGAGAACTGGAAATTATAGAAAAGGACCAAATGGAAAGTCTAGAACTAAAAAAAAAAAAAATACTACAGTAGAAATTAAGAACTCAGTGGATAGGTTTATTGGGCACCGGGGAAGAATTGGTGAACTGAAAGATTCTAAGGAAATATGCATTATAGCGTAATACGTTTATTAAGTGCCTGCTGTGTGCCAGGTGCTGATCTTGGCACTGGGGATACAGCAGCGAACAAAAAGACAGTCCCTGCCCTCGTGCAGCTGACGTTTGAATAGGAGAAGACAAATCGATTGCAGTAAATGGCATGAGGAAGTCAAGAGGGTAATGTGAGAAGAGAGAAATGTGGGGGGGACACCTTCTAGGTCAGCGGTCAGGAAAGACCACTCAGGAAATGTTTGTGTTGAGACCTGCAGAACAACAGTGATCTGGGCATGCAAAGCACCTAGACCACTACCCCATTCCACTTTCACACCGGCTTTGACGACTGTCCCCAGGGCCTAGCACAGTCTCACTTAGGGCAGGTGCTCAATACTCATTCAATGATGGAATGGAATATAACGGGTGGCGGGAGGGGAAGAGAGTTGCAGCACATGTTGTAATGTGATCTGCCCTAAATCTTTCATCCTCACTGAGAGAGGGCTGGGATTCAACAGTACCATAGAGCAGCAGTCCCCGACCTCTTTGGCACCAGGGACTGATTTCATGGAAGACAATTTTTCCACAGATCAGGGGAGGGGAGGAGGATGGTTTCGGGATGATTCAAGCACATCACATTTATTACAATTGCAGCCACTGTCCAGCCCTAGCATCACCGCCTCAGCTCCACTGCAGATCATCAGGTATTAGATTCTCACAAGGGAGCCGTGCAACCTAGATCTCTCACACGCACAGGTTACAGCAGGATTGACGCTCCTATAACAATCTAATGCCGCTGCCGATCTGACAGGAGGCGGAGCTCAGGCAGTGATGCGAGCGATGGGGAGTGGCTGTAAATACAGATGAAACTTCGCTGACTTGCTCACTGTTCACCTCCTGCTGGGTGGCCTGGTTCCTAACAGGCTACAGACCAGTACTGGTACAGACTGGCGCTGGTCCAAGGCCTGGGGGTTGGGGACCACAGCCATAGGTGACTCCAAGGTAAACCTTCATCCATCCATTCATTCTTTTGCTCATTCACTCTTTTAATGAGTTTATTGACACCTACTGTGTTAGGCAAGATGAATGAGTAAGGGTCCCTTCCCTTGAGGAGTTCATAGTCAAGGGAGGAGACCTATACTGTAATAATCACAAAATTGAATAACAAAGCAGCAATGGCAGCAGGGCTTTTAGCTGGTGGAGTGTGATTCTGCTTGGGCAGAGTGGGAGTGAACAACAGATGATTCCATGGAAGAGGGTACATTTGAACTGGTTCTCAAAGGATCCAGTGGGATGTTCCCAAGCAGAAAAGGCAAGGGAGGATGTTCCCATTCGAAGGAGAAGCCGGAACTTAGGAAAAAACATGATGGTTTCTGGAACGTAAGAAGGGCAGGACTCAGAATGAAGGCTCCAAATGTCACGCTAAGCTGAAGATGATGAGGGGAAATCAGAGTGTTATTATAAAAGTACACATTTTCACTGGAGAAACTTTCTTTTAAAAAAATCAAACAAGTGTTGGGTCAGGTTAGAGGGCTCTGACCTCCCTCCCAAGAACTATTAATAGATGTTCTCAGCACATCTGGCTGCCACAGAGTCTTCAGGCCAGGGAGGTATGGGGTAACTTCTGACACCTGGGTAAATGCCACTGATACTCCTGTCCTCACTGAGACAGGAAGCACGATGCAGGCCACAGTAGGGCTCCTAAGGGCAGAGTTCCTGCTCCCCATGCTGGTGTACCTACATGAGCAAGGTGACAGCACAAGGTTGCTACTCTCCATGATCCCAGCTCCCACCCAAAAAAACACTTGGCCCCAGCATACCCTCAGACCTCAAATAACCTTCTGGGAGCAGCTCAGCAACAAGTGTCCTCACATCTCCAACCTCCGGTCACACTTTTCGCCCAAACCCCTCCCTTGGCAGTGGGTCCACAGCACCTGTGTGCTTGGCTTACCTTTGCCTGCCTGTTTTATTGGAGTGGGAGTTTCTAGAAAGAGCATGGACTCTTGAGGCCGGCATTTCTGGATTTGAATCCACTTCTACTGCTTCCTGTGTAGTTTTGAGGAAGTCACTGCACTTTTCTTGGCACTTTTCTTGCTTTTGTTTGTTGATGTTGTTGTTTTTGAGACAGAGTCTCGCTCTGTTGCTCTGGCTGGAGTGCAATGGCATCAGCCTAGCTCACAGCAAACTCAAACTCCTGGGCAAGCGATACTCCTGCCTCAGCCTCCCTATTAGCTGGGACAACAGGCACGCATCACCATGCCTGGCTAATTTTTTCTATTTTTAGTAGAGACGGGGATCTCACTCTTGCTTAGGCTGGTCTTGAACTCCTGACCTCAAGTGATCCTCCTGCCTCAGCCTCCCAAAGTACTAGGATTACAGGAATGAGCCACTGCGCCAGCCTATCACTTCACTTTTCTCATCTGTAAACCTCATAATGAATGTTGGCACCTGGTGCTTGGAAGGCACCCTGTAATTGGTAGCTCTTCTTTAGCTTCAAATTGGTGTATAAAGAATGCCCTAAGGAGTCTTCCCTCCCCTGAATGTGGTAGGTTAGAAAGTCAAATGGAAAATAAATTACTAAAAAATGTAGTCTGAGTTATGCAGAAAAAGGGCTTTGGTGGTTGAACTTGGGCATAAGGAAGTGGGTGTCAGATCAGAAGGCATCGACTCTTAGAGCATCGCAGCTGAAAGAGTTTAGAGATAATGATGAAGATGATTAATAGCAGGAAATGTTTTTGCAAACGTACTCTGTACAGGTGTTTTGATAGGTACTTTGCATTATCTTATTTAATCCTAACAGCAACCCTGTGGGATGGATGTTATCCCCATTTTACAGATGAAGAAACAAAGGTGTATAACGGGTCCAGGGATACAGTCAGTACCCAGGACTCCTAACCCCAAAGTTCGTTCTTAATAACACTGGCTCTAGTTGCTCTGATGATGGAATCTACTCTAACACCTTAATTTTACAGATGAGGTTCAGGGAGGCAAAATGTCTTACCAAAGGAAGTGGGGGAAGTACCTTACCCAACTATTACACAAGGGAACTAGAATTTGAGCTTCCTTTCAGGGCACCATCTGGTCAAAGAGTTAGCAGAGAAACTTGGATTTAAGAAACATTTATTTATTTTTGTGACAGGGTCTCTGTTGCCCTGGCTAGAGTGCAGTGGCGCCACCGCGCCCAGCTAATTTTTTCTATTTTTGCTAGAGATGGGGTCAGCCTTCCAGAGCGCTAGGATTTACAGGAGTGAGCCTTATTTCTGGGAAAATAAGCTCAGAGCAATAATTCCCCCCAAGATCAATTAAGCAAATTAGTGGCACTGCCGGAACCACAAATTCAGGTCCAGAGGCTGCCAGCAGTTTCCTTTTTATTTTTATGCATGTTTTTATTTCAATAGATTCGGGGGTACAAGTGGAGTTTTGTTACATGGATATATTGCATAGTGGTGAAGTCTGGGCTTTTAGTGTACCCATCACCTGAATAGGGTACATTGTACCCAATAGATAATTTTTCATCCCTCACCCCACTCCCACCTCCAGCAGTTTTCTTAACCTAACCCCAGGTTCTCTATTCGCGAGCCCGTGGTAAGAATGAACCCTCTATTTTCCCGAACCCGGGGCCACTCACAGCGGTGCATTCTGGGATTCGCAGTATTCCCGCGAAGAGTCTAGACTCTGTGGGCCAATAGAATTCGAGCACAGGGGAATATACCCGCCTCCGCTGTCTGCTGGTTGCTCAGGGGACCCCTTGAGCTAGCCAATGAGAAGTGCACAGGTCCCGGTCGCCCGGGAAACCACATAACAACAAGATGGCGGCGCCGTGGGACGGCTCGCTGGGCCTGCGTGGTGAGTCTAATCCAACGCCTTTCTGTGCACGGAGTCACCGTCACACAGTCTGGGCCCCAAGCTCCGAGGGCTCTCGAGCTCCGTGGCTACTCCGGGAGCGGATTCGGGACCGCGTTTACCAGGACTACACGTGGAGGCGAGAGGAGGCAACACGGCTCCCAGGGCGGGGTGAGGTCGAGATAGACTTCGCGCCCTGAGAGTGTGCAGGAGCGATTAGGGATCGCTGGCGGCGGGCCTGTCCGTGCTGGCACCAGAGCGCTGGACCCTAGGAGTGAGGAATAGGCCAAGGAGGTGTGACGAAGTATGTTGTCAGTCAAGCACAGTACTGAGTTCGGTCCCCAAAACGTAGAGGCACAGGACACAGCTTTGCCCTCAGAGTCCCAGTCTACCTTTGGGAGGCATTAGCCTGAGAGGAAGACCCAGTCTTTTCCCTGGAAACCCCAAAGTGAAGGGGGTAGACATGACTGTCCTCAGGCCGCCCCCACTCCCCGCCAGTCTGAGGGAGGAAGAGACACAGCCCTGCCCTCAGGAATCCCCTGACTGATGGGAAGACACGGTTTTTGCCCTCTGGGGTCGCCTATAATCTAGGAGATTAACCTGGAAACAGTGTGTTGGATTGGACCAGAGTGAGACTGGAAGTAGGGAAGTCAGTTGGGGACCATTGTGACAGCCCCAAAGAAGGGTAGTGTGAGTCCCACGACGATGGCCCTCAGTGGGCATGGCAAAGAGGAGCTGTGTGTGAAAGACATTACAGAGTTTAACCTTGGGCTTTGGCAACTGATGGGATTAGAGGGAAGGAAGGAGAGAAAAATTTTGTGCTTGCATGATGGCGTCCCATTAAGAAGGCGAAATGGGAGGAACTGAGTTTGAGGGAAGATATTGGGTTTGCTTTGAGGACCAGTTGCTTTTTTCCCCCCGTGACAGCTTTGTTGAGATATAATTCACATATTACATACTTCACTCCTTTAAAGTATACATTTTAATCATTTTTAGTATATCTTAGTATATATTCCATTAATATGAAATGTCAAGAATGGGCAAAGCTATGGAGACAGAAAGTAGAATAGTGGTTGCCTAGGGCTGGCTGGGAAAGAGGGGTTGCAGCTGGAGGGTAAATCAGGGGTGACTGCTAAAGGGCACAGGGTTTTTTTAGGCTGATGAAAATGTAAAATTGAGATGGTTGCATGACTCTGTGAATATACTAAAAGCTTAAATTTTTACCTTACAAGGGTGAAGTATATCTCAATAAAGCTGTTTTATGAAAAAGGTTGTATGATATATAATCCATTTACATAATCTTCTTGAAGTAAGAAAATTATAGAGGTGGAAAACGGGGTAGCGGTTGCCAGGGGTTAAGGCTGGGGGAGGGGAGGAGGATGACTGTGACTTTAAAGAGGGAGAGTACAGGTAGGAGTGGGGAAACCATTTCAGGAGGGTGGTTCCAGGCAGGGGAGCCATGCGTGCGTGGGGCATTTGACTGGAAGTTCAAGCTCAAGTGTAGGAGGCAGCAGGATGGGTGATGAAGTCAGGAGACACAGGCAGGGACCAGGTGACCCATACTAAAGAATTTTGAATTTTTTCTATGGTTGGGAAGGAGCCACTGGGGAGCTGTATGCAGGGATTTTACATGTCTCCTTTGTGTTTTAAGAAGATCCTTCTGGCAATGCGTGGGGACTGATGAAGGGAGCCATGAGGGACTATCACCTTGGCCACATAAACCCCGAGGATGCCCAGAAAGAGCAGGGGCTGGGACAGGGTGGGGACAGAAGTGAGAGGCTGGGTGGTGGGGATCGGGAAAGTCTGGGCCTGGTCCTTGGAGGAGGCTCCTCCTGAGGAAGGAGCAGGGCATGAGTCCCAAACTCTAATGCAGGCATGGGAGGCTGCCTCCAGGAAGCATGAGTTCCCTTGCTGGGCAGCTTCAGAAGGAGGCTGGAGGCCAGTACCAGACATTTCCGAAGTGGAACTTCCTTGGATTTGTCCTAAAAAAACTTGGAGGTCCTAGGATTTCTAGATATTAGCCCCTTAATATACTTTATTTACTGAAAAGAGTAGTAGGCTTTCATTATGCCCCTAATGTGCATTCCTCTTTCCAGAAGAAAGAAAGAAGGAAGAAAAACCAGCATTTATGGGTGCCTTCTGTGTGCCAATAACAACAAAAACACACAATAGTCACAGCTCACATTTCCAAATGCTTCCTTTGAGGTTGGCACTGGGCTAGATGTTTTATGTTATCTGTTATCTCTGAATCCCTTCAATAACCCTGCCCCGCTCCAGGCTCGGTGGCTCACACCTGTAATCCTAGCACCCTAGGAGGCTGAAGTGGGAGGATCACTTGAGGTCAGGAATTCGAGACCACCCTGAGCAAGAGCAAGACCCCGTCTCTACTAAAAATAGAAACACTTAGCAGGGCCTGGTGGTGCATGCCTGTTGTCCCAGCTACACGGGAGGCTGAGGCAGGAGGATCACTTGAGCCCAGGAGTTTAAGGTTGCTGTGAGCTAGGCTGATGCCACGGCACTCTATGCCAGGTGACAGAGTGAGACTCTGTCTCCAAAACAAAACAAAAGACCCCTGCCCAGCCAGTGCTATTACTATCCCCTCCACATCACGTGGACTGTATCTTGATTGAATCTTGCCTTTGGGTTGCCCCTCTCTGGCTCTGAAGTGTTGGGAGTGGTGCCTGGTTTTTGGTAGGAAGGAAGGAGATGCCTGGGCTTTGTGTCAACTGACTGGCTGATAGATGGACAGCCTCCTGGGTAGTATTGTTCCCAGGCTCTAAGTCTAGGGAAGTCCCAGGCTTCTGACTCATCTCTGCATCCCATCCCCACCTCCACAGCCCTTTCACAAGCACCACCAGGCCAGAGGTCTCCAGGGCCAGAGCAGAGAGCTGTCTACCCAGAGGAGCAGGCAGATATGACCTCTGTCAGGGCAGCAGGAGGAGGTGAGGGGTACTGCTTCCTGGACAGTGCTCCTTGTTAGGAATGGTAGCCAGGAAAGAGGAAACTTCAGGCCACCCCCTGAGCCTAAAGCCCTGGGGCCTCTCTGTCCCCAAAGGCTGAGTTCCTTCTTTCCTCTCAGGGAGCTCCTGACAGCTAGAATCTAGAACTATGAGCTCACCTTTGGCCTCCCTTAGTAAGACCCGGAAAGTGCCCCTGCAGTCGGAGCCTGTGAATCCTGGGTAAGGAGCCAACCTCATGGGGTCTTTGTGTCCCTGCCCTGTCTCTTTGATCCTTCTGTGGCCAGAGGAGAATGACTCCTAGTGTCTTGGGGAATACAAAGAAAAGTTACACAGCCTGCCCTGACCACCTTCTTTCTCGTTATACCTTCTTCTGGGATGCCCTCCTTTGCCTCTGAGCATAAACTGGGTTGTGCCTTTTAATAAGATATGGCCCCTGGAGGAGCGGCTCAGTGTCCATCTGTTCATTCACTGTTCGTTTATTAATTCTGCAAACACTGGCTGGGCATGGTAGCTCACGCCTGTAATCTCAGCACTCTGGGAGGCTGAGTGTGGAGGATTGCTTGAAGCCAGGAGTATGAGACCAGCCTGAGCAAGAGCAAAACCCTATCTCTACAAAAAATACAAAAATTAGCTGGGGGTGATAGCATGCACCTGTAGTCCCAGCTACTTGGAAGGCCGAGGCAGGAGGATGGTTTGAGCCTGGGAGTTTGAGGTTGCGGTGAGTTACGATAATGCCACTGCATTCTAGCCGGGGTGGCAGAGCAAGACTGTCTTAAAAAAAAAAAGATATTCTGCAAACACTGATGGTCTATCTATCCTGTGCCAGGCCCTGTGCTGGGCTCTCTGTGAAGGGAATCTTTTACATCTGTTTAGCACTTTCATCTTTTCAAAGTATTTTTACCTCTCTTTCTTGCTCTTCCGAACACCACTTTGAACCATTCTAAGGCCAAGGAGATCCAGAGGGGTTAAGCAACAGGCCTGGGGTCCCACAGCCTTTGCAGAGCAGCACTGGGGCTGGGCTCAGGCCCTTCGCAAGTCTTATAGTCTCTCACCCAAGAGTCTGCCCTTTAGCTCTCTCCCCATCCTTCTCCGCTGGAAGGAGCCAGACCCCCTGAAGCCTGTTCCTTGGTTCACCTCAGGGTGGGGAAGGGATTCGGGGTGGAAGTCCTTGGGAGGCAGAGGCCCAGCCTCCATCTCTGTTAGCCTTGGCTGGGGCCTGGCACCCAGAACCTTTTCCCCGGTGATGTTCTGGGGGGTTCTAACTCATATTTCTTCATTCTGCTTCTTGCCTGGGTTCCCAGGAGGCGAGGGATACGAATCTACGGAGATGGTAAGTGTGGGCTCCGCCCTCGTGTCCTCTTCACCTCCCATCTGCCTGGACCTCCTTACGGTTGGGCCGATGGAGAGAAAACATGATGAAGGCCCTTGTCAGCTAGAGCAGCGGCCTGCCTCGGCGATACCTGCAGCTCCCGCACCCCGTCTTGCTAAGGACTGGGCTTCCCTACTGGCAGCTCTCAGATTAGGAGCCCCCACACCCTCAGCAGAGATGTCATCACTAACATTTGAACCCTTTGGCCCACTTTGGGACTGGCTGGTGGGTACCTGGAAACTATGTGAGGGCCAAGAAATTACCCAGCCCAGCGGTCCGAACTCCAGGTCCCCTTCCCCCAACAGCCTTCTCCAGCCCGCTGCAGCCTTTTCTCCCCAAGGCCTGTCCTCGCATCACTGCCCCAACTCCTGCAGGCTCAGGTCTTTGCATCCCAACCCCACTTCTGCCCCGCTGTGGCGCTCGCACTGGCTACTCAGGTCCCTCCTGGGTTGGGCTGGAAGAACTCCAAAAAGAGGCCCATTCTGGTTGGATCTTTGTTCCCCAGCCTCCTGAGTCCCCTCATACTCTTAGTGGGGACAGTGCGTAGGCTGCTTCACCCTGGCCAGGGCCCAGGACCTGAGTTTCCTCTGGGCCTTGGTCCCAGAGCAGTGACCTAGGCATCCCTGTCTGCAGAAGATGAGGTGGATATGCTGAATGATGCCCATGGCTCAGAAGAAAGGATCTCTGCCCCTTCCTGCTATGGTGGCATAGGCGCCCCTGTGAGTCGGCAAGGTGAGAGCAGAGGCCCAAAGAAGTCTGGGTCTTGGCAGCAGGAGGGGCCCCAGAGAAGGCGTGAGGCCCAGGGAGGCGTGGCACCTACTCTTGCCTGCTGAGTCTGAGGCAGCTGCTCCCACTCCTGGCTGACTGTGGCCATGAGCCTATACCCCCAAACCTCTCCAAGACCTGGCTTGGCATAAAGCCACACAGGCCCCACCCTTGGCTCAGGAGGTCTGGCCAAACCCCTGGCCAGGCTGTGGCTGGAGTCACCATCAAGTGTGATGTCAGTGGGTCCAGGATTCAGGTTAGAGAGGGATGAGGGTTTGAGGGTAGAGCTCAGCCCCTGGCCATCTGCTTACTTCTGCAGGGCTCTGGAAAGGCCAGAAGTCCCCCAGATAGTCCACTGAGCCTGGCCCACACCGTCTGCAATGGAGGTGCCTAACGTGGGACAAGGCTACTCAGGGCAACTTCCCAGAGGAGGGAGGATTTAGCGGGTCTGGGGAAAGGGGAAGACGTGGGCAAACAGGGATGAGCTGTGTGAGTGCTGGGCACGATCAGGGCCTGAGCCACGAGTCAGGAGAAGCTGGGGATGAGTTTAGAACTTCCTGCCAGCCGTGTCATCTTGAACAAGCAACTTCATGTCCCCTTGTTCCTGTTTCCTGCCCTGTGAAGTGGAAATGGGGAGATCAGCGTGTTGAGGTGGTTTGGATGAGATGCTACTTGGTGGAGGGCCCCTAGACAGTGCTTGTCACACAGGGGTGCTCAAGGTGGTGGCCACCGGTCAGGTCAGCTGTAGGAAAGGGCCCGGCCATCCTCAGCCACCCCCCTCCATTTTACTGAGGGGGAATCGAGGTGGAAAAAGAGATAGGAAGAGCTTGGCCCAGTATCCCACAACTGTTTAGTCATGAAGCCAGGATCTCCTACACCCCAGCTGGGGATGCTTTCAATAGTAACCACAACAGCCAGCTCCTCCCCTTAAGAGAGCTGTCCTCCCCCTAATTCTCCCTGTCATTCTCTCCTCTCCCCATGGCCAGCTGGTGTCTGTTCCCATCAAGGTCACAAGTGAAGACTTGCCTGTCCTATTTCACTTCTCTGACAGCAGCATCCGACACTGTCCACTGCTTCCTTCTTCTCACCACCTCCCCCCTCCCCCCCACCCCCCGGCTCTTGGCTGCCATTGCCCTCTGCTTGCAGGCCCTTTCCTCTTAGTGCTGGTCGTCAGGTCATTCCCTCCCTGCTTTTCAGTGAGAGGTTCCACCTGCCTGGATTCTCCCCTCCCTCTGCCCCGGGGAGCTCACCGCACTCTGGTGCACTCCAGCACAGACATTTGACGTATGAATGTGTGTATGTCGGTTGAGATGCTTCTGACTACAAGTCAAAGAAAACTCTTCCTCAACTAGCATGAACATCAAGGAAGATTTATTATCCTACATGCCAAGAAGTTCTAAGGAAGCCCCTCCAGGGTTGTTCATTCAACGACTCAAAGACAAGAGCTCAGGTTTCTCCATCTTTCTACTGAGCCAGCCTTGACATGGCAGCCACATGTGCTTGCTTGATGATGGCTCCTGCTTCACACATAGAAAGGACAATATCCAGGGGGAAAGGGGCTTGTTTCTTCCCGTGTCTCTCTCTTTTTTTCTTTTTCCAAACTTTTTATTTTGAAAAAGTTCCAACTTCCAAGTTGAAATAATAGTATAGTGAACACCCGTACATCCTCAATCTAGATTCCACAATCAATGCTGTTTTGCCACATTGCGTTCTTTCTCTCCGTATACACGGATATATGAACGTAAAGGTATCATTTGGATGAACCATTTAGAAATAAATAGCAGATATCATGACATTTAGCCTCTAACTCCTTCAATATGCGTCTCCTAAGAATAAGGAAATACATAATCACAGTGCTATTATCACACCTAAGAATATGAATAATTCCATAATAGCCTCTAACGTCTTTTACACTCACATCTCCCCAGCATCCCAAAATATCCCTTATAGAGATTTTTCTCCCCTCAATTAGGATCTAATTGACAGTCCTTAGATTAGACTAATGCCTGCCTTTTTAGAAAGTGACATGGGGCCAAGTGAGGTGGCTCACGCCTGTAATCCTATCACTCTGGGAGGCCAAGGCACGAGGATCGTTTGAGGTCAAGAGTTTGGGACCAGCCTGAGCTGGGATTAGCCAGGCATCGTGGTGCGCACCTGTAGTCCCAGCTACTCGGGAGTTTGAGGCAGGTGGATCGCTTGAGCCCAGGAGTTTGAGGTTGCTGTGACCTATGATGATACCCCTGCACTCTAGCCCGGGCAACAGAGCGAGACTGTGTCTCAAAAGAAAAAACAAAACAAAAATGACGTGGACTTTGTGAAAAGTCCTGGCCACTTGTCCAACACGGTACCCACGTTCTGGCCTTGTCTGGCAGTCTGCCTGCAGGGGAGTTTGCCTGGCTTCTCTGTCTGCTGGTTTGCCTGCAAACTGGAAGGTATATTTTGAGGTTTGATTAGATTGAGGGTGAAATTTTTGGCTGTAGTTCAGGGTGATGTGGCCCACATGTCATGCCACTTACTTGTACACCTTGGACAAATTACTTATTTGTCCTCTGTGCCTCAGTTTCCTGAAACAGTTCATTTACCTCTTAGGCATATTTCGAGGATTATGTGAGTTGATTTATGTAAGTGTTTAGAGCAGTCCCTGTTATGTGTCAGCTGCTGCCAGTGCTTTTATTTCTGCTCCTGGGGACCCCTCTTCCCCTCTCAGCGCCCCCATACCTCAGCTTCAGCCCAAGGCCTGGGGTCTGAAAACTTTGTCTGCTTGGCAGTGCCTGCATCCCATGACTCGGACCTGATGAGCGCCATGACGCGGAAGTTGCGGGATCTGGAGCGGCAGGTGAAGGCCCAGACTGATGAGATGCTGTCCAAGGTGGGGCCCCAGGCTAGAGAGGGCCGGCGTCTGGTCTGAGAGGTGGAGGGGCCCCAGGCTGGGAAGGACAGGGAGGCCACCAGTTGGACCAGGGCAGGTGGCTTCTAGGACTATCTCCTCCATTGAACTGCCCCATTCGAGGGCCAGGTCTGGCCTGGAACTGATCTGGGTCCCCATGACCCAAGCAGAGTGGCCTCCCTCAGCTGAGCAGGCCCAGTAGACCTTGGACTGGGCACAGCGGTGGACTTCTGAGTGGAGTGTGGCACCCTTAGACCTGGGGCAGATATTCTGGGTCTTCCCGTCTGGAAGGGGCTCTGGGCACCACCAGGCCTCATGCTCACCCGCATCTTCTGCTGCAGGATCGGAAGATATCAGCCCTGGAGAACTTGGTGCAGACCCTCCAGCAGCCCCAGGGTAAGAGGCCCTCTTGGAGGGCAGGTCCCCCCAAATTAAGGCACCTCCCCTGGGCCTGTGGCTCCTGGAAGCTTGGACAGTGACTTCTGGCATCAGGGCTCCAGGAGCATCAAGCAGATTCCTTGGTGGGGTCTGTATAGCTCAACCTAGAGGGGCAGGGATGGAGCAAGACTCTCTCTAAGAAAAGAAAAAGCAAAAAATCACTCCAGCACTCTGGGACAGTGCTGGAGTCATTCATTGTCTTCCTGTGTGGGGCTGAGTCCCCTGGGCACAGCATGCCATCTAAAGCGTGGAGGCCACGCAGCTCCGAGGGGAGCGGTGGCCTCCCGAGAGTCAGTCAAGGCACCCCCTGTGGGGGAGGGGCCAGAGAGATGGGAGGCAAGAGGCAGTTCTCAGGAGATCCCCAGAACAGCTTCTCCAGATGACCCTTAGGACAGAGTGCTGGTCAAAGCCAGAGGTGACCTGGCAGCCTCCGTGCTGGGGCAGCTGAAGCCTGTCCCTGTCTTCCCTGAAGTCGAGGCGACCCTGCAGCGGCAGGAGGAGCTGGAAACGATGTGTGTGCAGCTGCAGCGGCAGGTCGGGGAGATGGAGGTGAGAGGGGTGGGGCCCCAGGGACGAGGGCAGCCAGCAGTCCCCAGCTCTGGGCAGTCTGCCCCTCAGGAACCGGGTCCGAGCCCACATTTCTGGGCCCCTCCTTGCTACATCCCACCTCGGGGGCTGCACTGTGTTTCCTACCCTGGGCCAGCCCAGGATTTAAAGAGCCAGGGAGGTATCCAGGGCTAGAGACACTCTTCCTTTTGGTCCTGACTCAGACCCTGAACGTGTCCCTCCCCTGCTTACTGGGAGACCTCATGGCTGCTGTTGGGCTGAATTCCAAAGGGCTTACGTGACCCTGTGGGCTACCCCTGCCCACCTTGTCACCTCACCTGGAATCTCTCTCCCCTGTAGCCACAGGGCCCTTCCTCTGTTCTTTTCTATCTTAAAGGCTTGGCCTCTGCCATCCCCTCTTCTGAAGTGTTTTCTCCCACCTCCCCTAGGCGTGTTTTCACTCATCCTCGGTCATCTCCTCGGGGCCTTCCCTGACCACTGACCAGGCAGGTTCTCTGGCCTGTGCTTTCTTTTTTTTTTTTAAATTACTTTTGAGAGACAGGGTCTCACTCTGTCCCCCAGGCTGGAGTGCAGTGGCATGATCATAGCTTACTGCAGCCTGGAACTCCTGGGCTCAAGCAATCCTCCTGCCTCAGCCTCCCAAAGTGCTAAGATTACAGGCGTGAGCCACCACGCCCAGCCTTGTCCTATGCTTTCTTAGTGCTGTGTTTATCTTCCCCTGTGGAACTGTGAACTCCACAAGGGAGGGATCACTTTCCTCCTGTTTGTCACTGTACATCCAGGACCTAGCACTGAATTGATCCAGGCCATCCCCTGCTTCTGGCCATGACTTCTTATTCACCTGGTGACTCGGTTACCCCAGTCACCTCTTTTCTCCCACTCATTTAAACAGCAAGGCTCAAACTGGAGGGACACTAGACACAAGGAAGGGTCCTAGGCAGGCAGGTGTCCTCAGGGCTCCCCACCCCTCCACTGGCCCTGCCAGAAGTTCTTCCTGAGACCCAGCCTCTTCCCCGCTCCACGTGGTATTGGTTTCCAAAACCCCAACCTAATTTAAGACCGCAGAAGCAAACTCCCAAGCTTCAGCTGCAGCTGAGAGCCCTTCCCACCAGGCCTGTTCCCACCTGGGCTGCAGAACACGAAGCTGCCCCTGAGCAGCTGCTGTCGGGGGGTGAGAGAGGCACTCTGGAACCGCAGGACCGAGGGCATGCTGCTCACATGCGCACATCAGCCACACATTTATTGGGTCATTAATTTCACAATGTACACAGTATCTACCATGTGTCAGACCCTGCCAGGCACTGTGTTAGGGCGTGAACAAGACAGACTGCTGGGGGCTGACGGTCTGGAGGGCGGAGGGGGAGAGAGACCCAAATGAGTCCACAGATACACAGGTACAGAGAGTGGTATGAAATAATTAAATAGGTGACACAATAGAGATGAGTTGGGGGATGGGCCACGGTGGGGGTGACATTGGCCATGAGATCCGGAGGGTGAGGAGGGGACTGGGGCAGAGGATCCAGGCCAAAGAGAGGACAGGCGCCACCTCATGCTGCAGAGACTTGGCTGGTGGTGCATGGCTGTGGGGAGCAAGGAGAATGAAGAGAGAGGAGAGGCCCGTAGGGGCCACATCACGTGGGAGCCACCCGTGGTTCCGGGCAGGTTCTGTCCTGCAAGAATGGGAAACCTTGGAAGATTTCAGTTAGAGGAGCGGCCTGACAGGACTCTGCGGTGTGGAGAGTAGATGGTGGGGTGCAGAGTGGCTGGGGGGAGGCAGAAAGAAGCGGCCTTTTTTGTCCAGGAGGGAGACGGCAGTCGCTTGAGCTAAGAGGTAGCTGGAGATGGAGCTGTGTGGACGGGTACCAGGTGGCGTTGGAGGGGCACCCATGGGCCTTGCGGTTGTCAGGAGTGACGTGGCAGAGGGAGGAATGGGTCACAGAAGGTTCCCAGGTGAAGCGGGGGCTGTTTACTGAGGCAAGACCTGGAGGGGAAGAGGGTCAGGAGGTGGGGGCAGGAGTCACGACTGGGACAGTTCATTTTCAGATGTCTCTAGGCATCTGAGTGCAGATGGTGGGAAATGTGAGTCTGGACCTCAGGGATGAGATCTGCGTCCAATGCAAAGTTGAGTTCTTTCCATATGTATTCGGGAGTAGATGAGCACCGTTAGGGAGAGGGCAGGTGGCAATGGGCCCAGGACCGCCATGTGTTAGGGTGGGATAGAACTGGGGAACAGCCAAGAAAACTGTAAAGGAGCAGCCCCTGGAGTAGGAGGAAAACCAGCGGGAGTGGGAATAAATGACAGAAATGTGCCCAGTTTCAGTGAGGTGTAGAGATGGAAGATAGTAGAGTAGTTGAGAGAAAAGGAGATAAGGAAGCAGCCCCAGCAAACGGAGACAATTCAGAAGTTTTCCTGTGGCAGCGGGGATATGTGGCGAAGCCCCAGGGAGGCTAGCATGTGAGAGTCATGTCCTCAGTCCTGCAGGGCGGGATGTCCTTCCTCTCTGTCAGGCCAGACCCACACGGTTCCCCACGGCCAGAGTGGCTAACTTAATTAATTAATTAATTTATTTTGAGACAGAGTCTCACCCTTTCGCCCCGGCTAGAGTACAGGCGGCGTCATCATAGCTCACAGCAACCTCTAACTCCTGGGCTCAAGCGATCCTCCTGCCTCATTCTCCTGAGTAGCTGGGACTACAGGTGCTCGCCACCATGCCCGGCTAATTTTTGTATTTTCTGTAGAGACAGGGTCTTGTTCTTGCTCAGGCTGGTCTCAAACTCATGGCCTTAAGCGATCCTCCCCACTTGGCCTCCTAGAGTGCTGGGATTAGAAGCATGAGCCACCGTGCCTGGCCAATTTTTTTTTCTTTCTTTGAGATGGGGGTTTCACTCTGTTGCCCAGGCTGGAGTGCAATGGCTTGATCACAGCTCATTGCAACCTTGAACTCCTGGGCTCAAGTGATCCTCCTGCATCAGCCTCCTGAGAAGCTAGGACTACAGGCAAACCACCATGCCTGGCTAAATGTTTTTTGTAGAGACGGGGGTCTTGCTATATTGCCCAGGCTGTTCTCGAACTCCTGGGCTCAAGGGATCCTTCTTCCTTGGCCTCCCAAATCACTGAGATTACAGGCATTAGTCACTACACCTGGCTCTCAGAGTGGCTCACTTTACTGAGTCCTTACTTGTGCCAGGCACTGTGCTGAATACTTGGCATGAATCATCTCACTGAGTCCTCACGAGCTTATGTGGGCAGGTGCTGCCATCTCCATTTACAGAGGAGGAGCCTAAGGCTTTAGGAGGCAAAGTGGCTTTCCAAAGGTCACAGCCAGGAAGTGGGCAAGATGTCCCAGCTCATCCCCTTTGTCCAGTTGCCTCTGGGGCTCCAGTCACCTGAGGACTGAGGCTGAGGATTGGGCCGATGCTGCCTTTCCCTGGGACGGGCTGAGCCATCGCCCCCACGTCTCCCTCTTTTTCCCCACAGCGCTTCCTCAGTGACTATGGCCTGCAGTGGGTGGGCGAGCCCATGGACCAGGAGGACTCAGAGAGCAAGATAGTCTCAGAAGATGGCGAGAGGGACTGGATGACAGCCAAGAAGTTCTGGAAGCCAGGTAGAGTAGAGGGTCCACCCTGGGCCCCTCTTCAGGGAGAATTCTCCAACAACTTCCTGTCGGCTAGCAGCCCAGAGGCCCATGTCATTCAGCCCCAGCCTCCCAGCATGAGACGCCCCTGAGATAGCACACACCTTGCCTCCGACCCAGTGCAGGAAAGGCCTTGGCCTCCTTCACTGACCACCTAACCTGCTGCCTAGTTCCTTCCCTGGTCTCGCCTAGGACTCTCTCACTCTCTCTTGCTCAGCTGTGAAAGGTTCCAGAGGCCCAGAGATACAGGATGTAGAAAGACCTCATTTCCCTCAAGTTCCATAGTCTACAAAATGTCACCCTCTAGAAGCTGTTGCTTTTAAAAAGCAATCCCTCTGTTCTGGAAACCATTCCTTAATTCCCAGGGCTTGGCCCGCTCATTGGACTCCCTTTCCAGGTTCATTTATGACCATTGAAAGCCACCACTTCTTATTTATTTATTTATTTTTTGAGACAGAGTCTCACTCTTTTGCCTGGGCTGGAGTGAGTGCCGTAGTGTCATCCTAGCTCACAGCAACCTCAGACTCCTGGGCTCAAGCGATCCTCCTGCCTCAGCCTCCCGAGTAGCTGGGACTACAGGCATGCGCCACCATGCCCGGCTAATTTTTCTATATATTTTTAGTTGTCCGATTAATTTCTTTCTATTTTTAGTAGAGATGGGGTCTCGCTCTTGCTCAGGCTGGTTTCGAACTGCTGAGCTCAAGCAATCCGCCCGCCTCGGCCTCCCAGAGAGCTAGGATTACAGACGTGAGCCACTGCGCCCGGCCACCACTTCTTATTTTTAACTCAACTGCTAGTATCTAGAGGGATGCCCCCCCCAACCCCTTTCTTTGCTGGATTTGAATCTGTAGAACTGGCCATTCCTGAAATCTGTGTCTAAGTCTCTTCAAAGAATGGAGGTTGTTAACTAGAAGATACCTCCCCAGGCTCTGGGGTCAGCCAAACCTGGGTCCTCCTCTAGACTCCACCACCTATTCCAGTTGTGACTTGAGCAAGAGACTAACATTCTCTGAGCCTCAAGTTCTTCATCTGTAAAATGGGGGTATACTCTTCCCCTTGGAGTTACAGGGAGTAAACGAGTTAAGCTAGACTACCTAGCATTGGCCTTGCATGTCATTGGCCCGACAAGTAGGCGCTCTTATTGTGTCCAAAGAGTCTTAAGGCAATGGCAGTCTCACGGAAACACAAGCACAGCTCCCAAGGGGACCATTTGGAAGATGACAACCCTCTTTCATGTTTCCTGCTGGATAAAAACCCAGACTCCAAATGTGACGGTCCACCTCCTATTTAGGCCTGGGCTTGATCCATCAATCTCAGAGTGCAACCCCCTCCCTGCTTATTCTAAAAACATCACTTCCTGTTTTTGCAACATTTGCAGCTTTCAAAGCATTTTTATAAATGCCTTTGACATGGGCCAGGGGTTTCTCCATTTTATAGATGGGCAGACGAAGGCACTTCAGAAGTCGGTAGACTCTGAGTGTTGAGTGGAGGGGGTGAGACTGAAGGCTGAGAGCCTGTCTGGGAAGCAGTTGCAGTCTTCCAGGCAAAAGATGGGATGATGCCCAGCGTGACAATGACGCTGTGGAGGTGGCAGGAAGGGGCAGGGCAGAGAGATTCAGGAGGTGGGATCCATGGCCTTGCTGACTACACATGAGGGAGAGGGTGGGAGGAGTCAGGGCTGGCCCCAGGGAGCACGGCTGTGGGGAAGATGCTGAGTATCTGGGACACAGTGGAGCCGGGGAGCTGTGTGGCCCCTGGCGATGCCAGGACATGGGGTATGGCCCTGCTGCCCAGAACACTGCAGGCCTGGGCACACCAACGCAGGTGCGCTCTAACTGAACGAGGGTGGGGCATCGTGGCAATTCTCCAGGGACTCCTCGGCCTGGGGTGAGAGGTGGCTTTAAGGTGGCTGCAGACACTGTCAGAATGTCTGTCCTGGGTATAGGCCAGAAGCTTGCCAGCGTCACACCCTGGGCCCCTGGCATGGCAGCCTGGGCTTGGGCTTCACGGGGGCCTGCCACCTTGTTGCAGGGCAGCCTGGCGCCTGGCTGGTGGGGGGTTGCCTTCTCCCTGGGGGAGGGGGCAGACCAGATGGCTGGTTTCTGGCCCTGGCCCTGTGTATTACCACTCTTCCCACCCCTCAAAAAAGACAGCAGCCCTCACTCTGCCGTTTGTTTCTTATGCTCCGAGTAAGGCTGGCTCTGAGGCTGAGCATTTCACAGATAAAGCAACTTGGGAAAACTGCCTGCTACCGTGTCTTGGAGGCCCCTATGTGCATCCTCTTCCTGCTTTTGCATTTTGCTTTTTCAACATGGGAGGGGCCTTGGTTTGGCTCTTCCTGCCAGATGAACTGACAGGTTGTTTTTCAGTGGTAGCAGCTTTTCCTCCTGGGACTTCCCTCTCCCCAGGTGCCAGCCTGCCTCTGCCCCGGGGGGGCCCTTGGGGTCACAATCTGGCCTCTTGCTCTCTTGATGCTCAGGTTGATTTCTCTGGCTTTCCTTTCATTGGGTCCCACTCCCCACAGGCTGTGGGGCAGTGGCCAGTGGTCAGGTGAGCCAAAGAGGGGATGATTCAAAAGTTCTAGAGGCTGAGATGCTTCCTTAGGGAGGAGGGTCAGTTGGACCCATGAAGGAGGCCCAGCAGAGGGGAGGCTTTGCAAGGGCTTGTTCTCAGGCCGGATCGGTCATCCTGCCCGCCCTCTCTGCCAGTATATGGAGCATCACACAGGGTACCGTGCCAGGTGCTTCAGGGTATGCGGATACATGAAAGGGACAGTCCTGCTCTGGTCACACCACCATCAGCCAGGTGTTGAGCCTCAGGGCTCAGAGCTCCTGGTCAACTGTGAGCTCCTCACTCCCCACTACTTCCCTGTTTTCCTCTGAACCCCCCTTCCCTGTGTCTCCCTCCACATCTCCCGCCCCCCTGCCAGCCCTGCCTCCACCCCAGCGTCCATCCTCCCAAGGCCCAGCTCCTGCATCTGGGTTGGAGCCACACCGATGCCGAGGGCCTGGCCGGGCAGGCTCGGCTCCTTCCCACCCTCGCCTCCACCTCAAGCCTTTGATGGTGCTCTGTCCTCCCAGAGGTGCCTTGCCCCCTTTGCACTGCTCCTTCGAAGTGCAGTGCAGATCCCACCTCTGCCAACAAACCTGCCCTGAGTGCCCCTCGCAGTGCAGCCAGGGCCGCGTGGGAAGGGGCTGCGCTGTACAGCGAAGGGGCTAGAGGCTCAGGCCGAGGCGGGGGCCAGGCTCAGATGCGTCCTGTGTGGGCAGATTGCAGAACCTCCCTGAGCCTGGTTCCTCCTCTACAAAACGAGGAGAATGGTACCGACTGGCTCCCCAGGCTGCAGAGTGGATGGAATGGGACAGTGCATGTGGCTGACGTGTGGCAGTGAACAGCGACTGTTAGCCATTGTCACTTAGCTGTTGTCATGCCCTGGAGTGTCCAGCACAGTGCTTAGCACATAGGATTGGCCATGGTTCCCATGTGTGCCAGGCCTGGGTGACCAGAGCACGTCAGGACAATCGTCTGCACGGGACGGGGTGGGGCCGAGGGTCCAGTGCTCAATGGCAGGGCCCAGCAAGAGCTGCGGTGGAATCTAGTGCGCCTGGGCTCAAACCTGCCGGGCCCCGGGCTGGTTGAGTGCTCTGGCAGTGGCCAGACCCTCAGAGCCTCTCCTCCTCCGCATCTGCCCCTCGGAGGAGCGGAGTGAATGTAGCTAAAGTCCCTGCAGCAGGGCCTGGCTGACAGGTGTGTGATAACAGCGGTTCCGTTTCCTGTTGCAACAGTCTCTGCATGACAGGGAGGGGCTGAGTGTGTGGGCGCTGCAGGAGGAGGCCATCCCAGCAGGCCTGGGAGGGCTGCCACACCCCCACTGACCATAGCAGGCTCTGGCCGCTCTGGGCTCCACAGCCCTCCAGCGGCACTTACCACATGCCATCGTCACTGTGTGCTGCCCTGTCTCCCTCACTTGAGCTGAGTCTGAGGAGGACAAGACTCTGGGCATGGGCAGGGCCTAGCAGAGTGTGGGCGCTTAGACATCGCTGGATGCAAAGACCCAGCCAGGCTTCTAGAGCACCCACTGTGGGCCAGGCCCCCAGGGCTCGACGCTCCAGCCTGAGCTCCCGGGGCACCCAGTGTGGCTGAAGGCAAACAAGCAAGTAGAAAGTAACAGCTTGTGACAAGGGCCAAGCGAGTCGGTCCAAGGGTTCCAGGAACCCAGTCTCGAGGAGAGAGGCTCCTGGCAGGGCTTCTCCGAGGAGGTGGGGGTGAGTGAGAGCAGCGTGAGCCCAGTGACGAGTAAGAGGTGTCAGTGACAATGACAGCCACCATCTGCCAGGCACTTCCTTTGAGCCTCACAGCAGCCCCGTGAAGTGGGGACGGCCATTGTCCTCATCTTACAGAAGAGGAAGCCGAGGCCCAGAGAGGCCCACTTGCCCAAGGTCGCGGAGCTCGGACATGCCCTGCAGCGTGACACCTGAGTGTGAGGGGAGGGGCGTGTTGAGGGGAGGCCCCGTGCTGAGGGTCCTGGGAGTCGGGCTGAGGAGCTTGGACTGGACCTCCTGCCTCCCTACTCCTCTTTTTAATACACTTGTGGGCTTGAAAGCTGGATGAGGCCTTAGAGATGATGCCCCAGCGCTGCCCCCTCCCCGGAAGGGAGCCCAGTGAGCAGCTGCCCCAGAACCGGAACTGAGGGGCAGCCCGTGTGGTCCCTGCAGACTGAGGCCGGGTCCCTGGGGCCCCGCATGCTGTATGACTCAGGGCATGACACCTTACAAGGCCCAATTTCCTCATTTGCAAAATGGGAATGGCCATACTTGCCTCTAGGTGCTTGGCATGGAATCGTCATCTACAGACAGCTTCACCAGCTGGGTCTGGAGGGCAGGACAGGGTTCTTACTATCTACCCACTCCGCAGGAAGGAAAGCTGCGGCTCAAAGACAAAATGCCTCCCCACCCCAGTACTGCTGCTGGCTCAGGGCAGAGCTGGGACTTGCCCTCTGACCTTCCTCACCCTGTGTGGCCCCCACCACACCTCTCTCCTGCCGAGGGACCTCTGCCAGCCCTCACGGGGCAGGGGACTCACTGGTTTCACCAGGCCGTGCTGTGTGGTGACAACACTAGGCTCTTTCTGTCTTTCCTTTGCCCAGAGCTGTGGTTCCTTATTCCTGGGCCCCTGGTCTCTGCCCCATTGCATCTGGGGCCTGCCCAGCCCACCCGGCTGTTACTTCTCTAAGCCCAGCCCAGGTGGCTGAGAGCCACCAGGGCCGGGTTTCTTGGCAAGCTTCCCTCTTCCCTTTCATTGCTTCTCAACATCCTCCCCAGGCTTCTCCTGTCCCCATCCCCTATTGGCCACCCCATGTCCCTCAGCCTGAAAAGCCCTGGCCTCAGGAGGCAGCTTGGAGCAGGGCAGGAGCACTGGATTCGGAGTCCACATACTCCTGGCTGTGCTCTGTCTGGTCTGATCGGGCCACTCATCTGACCTTTCTAGACTCACTTTCCTATCTGTTAGAAGAGGGGGTGGGCAGGCATTGCAGGAGATGATCTTTTCTGCTGTTATTTTTAGGTTTACCAATTTGTTTTTACAGTAGTGAGTTGTTAAAAGGAAAATAATGTCTTGATATAGTTCGGTTCTATGAGCTTTTCCTAGGGATCTCAGGGACTCTGGGGGACAGGAGGGGGAGGTAGGGCGGTCCCTTTGACAGTAGGAGATGTAGGCAAGAGGGGAAGGCCAGCTGGGGCCTACTGTTTCGGCAGCTGCAAAGGCAACAAGAAACATAGCCACCCACATCTGTACCTTCCCAGTACACTGCACCGCTGTGGGAAAAGGAATTGGGTCCCCAGAGCCCTGACCCACATCCTGCCGCAGCCTGGCTGTCCTGGTGAAAAACAGCCTTCAGCAGGCCCCGGAAGTTACTGGCGTGTGGTAGGGTTACACCCTAGTGCATGACTGACCGGGGGGCCGGGTCCCCAGCCAGTGTCCCTCCTGCCCTCCACCCTGTCCACTCTGGTATCCGTCATGGCTGTCCCCACTACCCCATCTGCACCCCCCAAAGCTTATACACAGCTGTACGTACAACACATTTTTCAGAAGAGGAGGCCAAAGCTTTGTCAGCTTCTCAAAGGGGTCTGTGACCCAGAAATAGTCACACAACCTAAGGTCTGTCCCCTGTCCTGTCCAGCAGCTGTCCCCACATCTTTCCTAATAGCCATCTGTCCCTAACCCTGACCTCCCTCTCTCTCTGGATGGTGCAGATGGGTGGGAAAAACAGACTCAAACGTCAGCCCCGGCTCCAATCCCAGTCTCTCCTCTAACTTGCCAAGTGGCTTGGGGTGAGTCATTTTTCATCTCTGTGGGCCTGTTTGCTCATGTGTTAAATGGAAATAAATAACCCCGGCCTCATAGCCTCAGGCTTGGCCTAAGGACCATATGTGCAAGGTAGAGTTGGTAACAATAGCAACCATGCGCAACGTGCTTGTTCCCAGTGGCCCTCATGTGGTCATCTTAGAGCCCTCCAGTCATCCTGGAGGCAGATATTATTGCCACCCCATTCTAGAAGAGAGTGCTGCAGCACAGAGCATTAAATGACTTGTCTAAGGTCACATAGATAGAAGTTAGAAGTGGAGGAGCTGGGATTTGAACCCAGACAGCTTTTTTTTTTTTTTTGAGATGGTGTCTTACTCTGTTGCCCAGGCTGGAGTGCAATGGCACAATCATAGTTCACTGTAGCCCAGCTGATTGTTTTTTCTTTTTCTTTTTTTTTTTAGAGATGGGGTCTCACTATGTTGGCCAGGCTGATCTGGAACTCCTGGCCTCAAGCAATACTCCCTCCTCAGCCTCTCGAGTTGCTGGGATTATAGGCATGAGCCACTGTGCCTGGCTGAACCCAGGCAGCCTTGATCCAGATCTGGGAGCTCTGCCCTCTGCTTTTCAGCTGCCAACCCATTGCCCGACAGGCAGATCTGGGATCAAATCCTCTTCTGCCACTTACTGTTGTGCCTCCCTAGACAAGCCATTTAACTTCCTCAGTTTGCTCATCTGGAAAATGGAGATGACTATAACCTCCACAGCATAGGGTTGGTAAGAGCAGGGAATGTGACAATGGATATTAGACCCCTAGTACAAAGTCAGCGCCCAAAGGTAGCTGTTATTATCTAGTGTTAGCTGTCCTTCCTTTAACCCGGGTGGTCACTTGAAGAGACACCAAGGCCACTGCCTAGCTTGGGAGGGGCCACAGGAGCCAGGACTGCTAGGGCACACTGTAGCCATGAGAGGCTCATGGATGTCTGTCCTCTTTGCCAGGGGACTCACTGGTGCCCCCTGAGGTGGACTTTGACAGACTGCTGGCCAGCCTGAAGGACCTCAGTGAATTGGTGGTAGAGGGTGAAACCCAGGTGTTGCCGGTGCCCGGTGGGGCAAGGCTCCGTGCCCTTGAGCCCATCCCACTGAAGCTCTACCGGAATGGCATCATGATGTTCGACGGGCCCTTCCGGCCCTTCTATGATCCCTCCACTCAGGTAGGAGCCCGTGTGGGGGCGCCCCTGCCTGCCCACCATTAGTTGGGGATGATGGAGCCAGCTCGCCCCAGGCCCGGCCTGCCCTCCACGGGGCACTCAGGCCCTCACACGACTTGCGGAGCGCCCCCTACCCCGCCCCCGTCTGGGCTCGTGACTGTTTCCAGAGTGCGAGGCACGGGGTAAGCCCAGGGCGAGGGCCCGCCATCCAGACAGGTAGCAGGTGGGGCCACCCCACAGGTCCAGCTGGGCTTCACCCTCCCTCTCCCCCCTGCAGCGCTGCCTCCGAGACATACTGGATGGCTTCTTTCCCTCAGAGCTCCAGCGGCTGTACCCCGATGGGGTCCCCTTTAAGGTGATGATCTCCTCAAAGCACCCCTTCCCTGTGCAGGGATTTGGGAGTGGGGATCCACAGCCTCCTCAGGCGTCGCCCATTCTGAGCGGGGAGCCACTGCCCCACCTCAGGGGACCCCAGTCTAATGCCCTCCAGGAGGAGGGTGAACCTGAAGCCTGGCTGGGAAGGGAGTTGGGGGCCGCTGCGGCCACAGTTGTCACAGTGCAGTGGCAGGGGCCTCAGGCTGCACAGTAGGCAGTGCCCTCTGCTGGCACCCTGAAGGCACAGCCCCAGCTGTGCAGGGCCAGTGTCCTGCTCCTGAAGCTGTCTGGCTGGGGTAGAAGGCAGTGCCCTGGGCCAGCCACAAATGCAGAACAGGGAAAATGTTGGGACTCAAGGACACGGGGTGGAGCCACTCTGCAGGCAGGCGCTGCCACGGGAGCACATGAAGCAATGTGTTCCAGAAGCTGGGCGAGGCCACGTCAGGGAGGGAGCGTGTGCCACCAGGGCTCGGAAAATAACGTGAGTCATGATGGGGTGTTCGAGGCATCCATGCCAAGATGGGGCCCTCAGAGCTGTGCCTTGATGGAGCAAGTGGGGGGAACGTGTGCAGCGATTGGGGTCTGTGCTGCAGACTAGACAACAGCAGGGGCTTTGTCCTCTCCTGTCCCCTTCATACTTCCTCACAGTTGGCTCCTGAAGAGATCTCTGAGGAGGGTGTCAGTATTGTGGCTTCAGCTGGCATGGATCAGGGGTGCTTGCACAAGGAGTAAGGCCCGGGGAGGCAACAGCAGCATAAACTGTGGCTCTCCTGAGGCCTCAGTTTCCTCATCTGTAAAATGGGGATTGCATCAGACCATCCCTTGGGCCTGTTCTTGGGTCCTCTGGGTAAGCAGGACTGGGGTGTGGCCTACGGCTGAAGAGCTGGGCCTGCCACTGTCTCCCTTCTTGCCAGGTGAGTGACCTGCGCAATCAGGTCTACCTGGAGGATGGGCTGGACCCGTTCCCAGGCGAGGGCCGCGTGGTGGGCCGGCAGCGGATGCACAAGGCCTTGGACAGGGTGGAGGAGCACCCAGGTGAGCTTGCCCCAAGGCTGAGCCAGGCGGCTGGGGGGCTATGCAGAACAAGCACCAGGCAGCCTCCACCACCACGCATAGTTCTTCCTGGGCCAAGGTTCCCCATGCCCTCCCTGCAGGCTCCAGGATGACCGCCGAGAAATTTCTGAACAGGCTTCCCAAGTGTGTGATCCGGCAAGGCGAGGTGATTGACATCCGGGGCCCCATCCGGGACACCTTGCAGGTGAGGCCAGCTCTAACCCTCCTAGCCATCTTGAGGGGACTTTACCACCAGCCCTGGCCCAGCCTGCCAGAACAGTTTCTTATCTAGAGGCTCAGCCTTGGGGTCTCTGATGAAGACCTGGATGGAGAGATGAGTCCCCCAGAGCTGTTCTGCTGTCTCTGGAAACTAAGGAGCTGGTGAGGGCTCTGGGCTGGGCTCCACAGAACAGCCGGGTTGGCTATACGAGATGTAAAGTCAGAGTCCAGGCCAGGGATGAGCCTAAGTCCCAGGCCATCCCCTTGAGGTCTAGGCCAAAATCTTCAATTCAGTCCTGGGCCCCCCTTCCTGGTGTCCTGCAGGCCCTCACAACTCATCATCTTCTCTCCTCACTCCCCATCCTGCTCCCTGCCTAGGCGTCCACCTGTGGAAGGTGCCAAACCTTCATTTCTTAGGCCTCCTCTGCCTTCTTCACCCCCACATTGCTGCGTCCAGTCTGGTCTGTCCATCCCCAGAATGCCTCCCCCTTCTTGTAGCCCATCCCCCAGTCTAGGCTCTGGAGTGTCTCTCTCAGAGATGCCTCCCACCTCCACTCCTGCCCCTGCCAGCTGTCCTTCCCAGCCACTTCCCCACTGAAATCCCCCAGTGGTTCTTGGGATAAAGCCCAGTTCCTTGTCCTGGCACTCAGGCCCTGCGCTGCATTGCTGCGCCCTCCCCACTTCTCTAAGCTTTTCTTTGTTCCAGTCCAGCCTGGTCCCCAGCTTCAGCCATGTCGATCGCTGGCAGTTTCCTAAATATATCACCTCCTCTAGGAAGCTTTCCCTGACCTTGGGATCTTTGTCCATGCTGTCTGGAATATCCCTGCGCCCATTCCACTTCTAAGGACTCCTCTTTCTCACCCTTCAGTCACAGCTCAGTTGCCATTTTCCTAGAGGAGCCTCACCTGGCCGCAGGCTGGGGCAGGCATCCTGCCCGTCGTGGTCCCTGTGGGATCTGCCTCCCACTAGTCTGAGGGGGAGGCTGCTTGGGGAGAATGATGGGGCTGCCTCCCAGAGCCTCCTTCCTCTTCTACTGCCTCTCTTTGGGCCTCAGCTTACACAGAAACAACTCCCCCACGTGCCTCATTGTTATCATCCACCCCGATCAAGGATGAGCCCCCTCTAAGGGTCGTGGGGGGATGACTCAGGGGGGCCCAGGGCACTGTCCACTCTCTACTGATCCCTTCCAGAACTGCTGCCCATTGCCTGCCCGGGTCCAGGAGATCGTGGTGGAGACACCTACCCTGGCGGCTGAGCGGGAGAGGTGAGGGCAGGGCAGAGAGGTGAGGGCCTGGGGACTGGGGGGTTGGGCCATGGGAGCGCTGAGCGCCTCTGGGCTGTGCAGGAGCCAGGAGTCGCCCAACACACCGGCGCCCCCACTCTCCATGCTGCGCATCAAGTCTGAGAACGGGGAGCAGGCCTTCCTCCTGATGATGCTGCCCGAGGACACCATCGGGGACGTGCGCACCCTGCTAGCACGGTCCAGGTGGGCACAGAGTGGGGCTGGCCGGGGGCCACAGCGACGCTCTGGTCCCATGACTGGGCCTGATCTGCCCCGCCTGGTCCCCAGGGCCATGGATGTCACTGCCTTTGAGATCTTAAGCACGTTCCCGCCGAAGGTCTACCGCGATGACACGCTCACGCTGCAGGCTGCAGGCCTCGTGCCCAATGCTGCACTGTTGCTGCGGGCGCCCCGGGCCCCGCAGTCTGGCCCCAACTTTGGTCCTGGTTCTGGCCCCAGCCCGGAATAAAGTGCCCGCCCGGACACCCGCTGCTCCTGCTCCCAGAGGCTCTCTTGGCGGGGCCATCTCTCTGGGCTTGGGAGGAAGGTCCCAGCTGGGCTAGGGAGGGGGCGGTGCCGATCCGCCCCTCGGTAACTCGAGCCCCAGCTGGCAGGCCTGGCCTCTGGTTCTTTGTCCTCTAGGTTGCGTTCTCCCCAGAAGGGCTAGATGGATCCGGTGAAGGGGGCGGTGAAGGGGGCGTCCAGTGGCGGGAAAGAGCCGGCCGCAGCTGGGTTTACACTGAGGCAGCAAAGCCTCATTGTGCAAGCATGCGGCCAGCAGACACCTGTGCACAGATATGCACAGTCCCACAGCCATGGGGACACTTCCTCAATGCTGTGACAAAGCCACTGCCACAGCTACATCCATGCCCCCAAACTGGCAGAACTGCAGCTGTGCACCCACTCGCTCCCATGACACACCCATGCTTAGCCAATCTACCCCAGTGCAGGCAGGAAGGCAGGCAGGCAGGCAGGCACAAGGATGGCCACACTCACTGACAGGCATGCAAATGTGCAGTACACGCCAAGGCACAAGAGTCATAGGGACACCGTCACATGCATGTGAACTGGAGGGCGGTCCACCCAGACTGTCTCCAGCAACCACGGGTCCACACAAGTATGTGTGTGCCAGACATACATCCAAACACTTGCACTAACACACACACAGGTGACAGTCCCATGAGGACAGCTCAACTGACCTGCCCACAGAGCACAGCCTCAGCACAATCACAACTAGCAACCTAACCCAGAGCAGGGACCCAGGAAGCCCAGGCCACAACCAAACAGACACAGTGCCAATGGAATGGGCATTTAATTGTCTCCAGGGTGCTCCTGGGGGCAGGGATTGCGGGGCCTTTGGCAGAGCTCTGGCTAATGGAACCAACAGAGGTGCCCATCAGCCAGTGCCAGGCAGGGTGGCAGTCCCAAGGCCTGGCTGGGAACAGCCAGCATTTGGTGCTGCTGTTTAAGACAATTTCTGAGACTAGTGGGTAAGGAATGTTGCCTGTGAATGGAGACGGGGCACAGTTAGAGAGGGGGAGAAGGGGCCTGGACTGTGGGGGAGGCACTCCAAGGTCAGAAGGTTAGGGATGGCAGGGAGTTGGTCACAAGGTCTTTCATGGCCAAGTGAGGGCTGTGGGGAAAACGTGACGGGAGTCCAGTGGGGAAACCGGGGGCCGGCCTGACTCAGGCCAGCTTCAGGAACTCCTGCAGCGTGTTCTGTTCCACGGCCTCCACGAAGAGCTCATAGTCCTGGGGGAGGGGAGGGAAGGGGCAGTCAGTGCAGGTGCAGGTGGCCCAAGTGCTTTGTCGCAGGTCTGACCCTGGCTAGAGTCCTACAACACCCCCCACCTCGGAGCCCCCAGCCCATACCCCACAGTACTGGTCCCCATTGACAATCTGGGGTGGGGTGGCCTTGGGGTTGCCTGCCAAGGCTCGCATCTCATCCCGCAGGGCGTTGTCCTGGGAGATGTCCACGAGTTGGTATTGAATGCGCTTCCCATCCAGGATGCGGGTCACCTCGCTCTGCTGGGACTTGATCTGGGGGCAGAGTGGGGTAGGGGTTAGTGGACCGGCTGGAGGATTTATGGGGGGGCCCTGGGCAGGGTGAAAGAGGCTGTGACCAGGAGCTTTTGTCCCCCTTCCCCCTACACGCACACTCTAGGGGAGGGTTCAGGCCACTAGGAGTTGCAGAGTGAGTCAGGCTTGATTTGAGGTGGTGCCAGGATGAGGAGAGGGACCACCAGCCATGGGGAGGGGTCAGAAAGAAGGGAAGTGGGATCAAGCTCAGCGAGGGGAAAGCAGGGCAGGCCTGGGTGGAGGCTGGTAGGGGTCCCTCAGCCCCAGACACACAGGGGAGGAGAGAAAGAGCAGGACGAGTTCATGGTCAGGGTCAGCCTGGTAGTGGGGATGCAGAGAATGGGTGCCCGAGTGGCGGGGGATGGGCGCAGGCAGTGCATGCTGCGGCTGTTGAGGACCCAGGATGCCCGGTGAAGGCGCTCAGGAACGGCCGCGGAGCCCAGACCCGGGAAGCCGTGCCCGGCACCTCACGGCCCCCCCGCCCCGCCCCCGTGCTGGGGGCGGGTCCCGACCTCCCGGACACGGCCCGCGCTCTCCCCCAGCGCCAGCCTGGGCGCTCACTTACTTCACGGGAGCCGGTGACCGACGTGCTGTAGACGCGCAGGCCGCTCATGCTGCGGGCAGACGGACGTGCCGACGGGCGGAGGGGCGGCGGGAGCGGCAGCTGCACTGCCGGGAGACGACGCCGCCACCGCGCTCGGGAGCGGTTTCCTTCCTGCTCCGCCGCGAGTCACTGCAGTCGGGACCAATGGGCGGTGCGGGCAGGCAGGGCGGGGCGTGCGCGACACCGCCCCGCGCGCCAGAGGCCCCCTCCCATCCCCCTGGCGTGGCCAGGCGTAGAGGGGAACCGTCTCACGCAGGGCCGCCCCTTGTGCAGCTGCGCCGCCCGCCCTTTCGGCTCTTCCTTGTCTGGGGCCCACAGTGTGACGGTTGGGGAGGGACTAGATGGCAGGAAAGGCCCGGGAGGGCAGGGGCGAGGGTCTGGCAAAGGCCTCCTGCCCGGCCTCACCCAGGCTTAGGGCATCAGCTCCCCATCCTTAGTCTCCGGAAGAAGGTGCCATAATAGCTTGGGGCTTTGGAAGGTTTGGGCTGTTTTCAAACCCAAAGTTCCCAAACTAGGAAACCTTGCTCCAAGTGACACCCCACCCCCACTCCCACCCCCACCCCCACATACACACCACTGACCCTGGGGATAGGAAGCGCACCAAAGCCGGAGCTGCCCGTGCTTAGAGATTTTCCCTCAAGTTCCTCTCCGCTCAGACAGGCAGGTTTAGACCAGGAAGAGTGATGGCAGGAGGCAGAGGCCTCAAGGAGCCGGATGGCAAGGTGAGAGGCCGATAGCTCTGAAAGTTGTGGAGGGAGAGGCTGGTGTCAGGATTCTTTAGAGCCTGGGCTTGAGCTGGCCCTTGTTAAAGATCCACCTCTGGTTTTGGGGTGACCCCAGCTCAACCCCAACTCCATGCTGCGAATGGCATTCCAAAAGTGCTATTACTGCCAGCAAGAATTCAGGCTTCAGAGGGCAGACTCCAGCAACCAGCCCAACTTTGGAGACTTAGCTGTCTGGGGTTGGACACAATGCTTCTCAGAAGTACCCCCAGGCTGGGCACAGTGGCTCCCACCTGTAATCCCAGCACTTTAGGGGGGAGACCCCTTGAGGCCAGCCTAGGCAACATATTTAAGACCTCGTTTCCACAAAAAAAATTTTGTTTAATTAGCCAGGCATGGTGGTATGTGTCTGTAGTCCTAGCTACTTGCAAGGATGAGGCGGGAGGATCCCATGAGCACACAAGTTCAAGGTTACAGTGAGCTATGATCGCACTACTGCACTCCAGCCTTGGCGATAGATACCCTGTCTCAAAAAAAAAAGTCCCCCCTAGTCTAGGGCTCTCTGAGGCAAACAGTACCCTGGCTTTGCTCTGGGGAAGCCACTTCCTCACAGCAACCCAGAGGCAGCTGACTTCCTGAGAGGACTGCTGAAACTCTTTTCAGTGGCAAATTTGCTTATGACTCAGGGCAGCTTTGCCCAACAGAAAGTAGCGTGGGAGGAGATCTCATTTGCCCCCACAGAACAAAAGAGGAGCAGAAGTGGTAGAGATAGGGGCATGAGGCTGGACCTGCCAGAGGTCCCTCCCTGCTGATGCTTGGGAATTTGCTAAACACCCCGCTTTTGGCTCCAATAAGCCAAAGTGAGGGGTGGGGTAGGGTGGTGGTGATGGAAGGCCACAGAAAACTAAGGCGTTTGTTAAGATGTTTTATTTTATAATGAAAATAGGCAATACAAACAAGTTGACATAACAAAGATTCATATAAATAACCGTTTATAAACTTTATGAGGAAAAATACCCGTGAGCATGGTGGCTGGGCTCCCAGCACAGGGTGGAGACCAGCCAGGCGGCTCTGCTTTTAGGAGGCAGGAGCCCAGAGGCTGAAGGGATGGCCGGGTGGGGCTGCTCTGAATGGAAGGGATAAGTCACTCCATAAATAAAACACAAACTTGTAAAAACACTTAAGAAGGAGCCTCATTCAGGCTCAGGCGTGAGGTCCAGGATGCTGCCTGCCAACAGCCCAAAACTCACCAAGAATCTTGTAGTGGCTGACTCTGGGCTCCTGAACTGCTGAGTGCTTTCCCATACATGGCCCCTGCTTGGCCTGGCTCCAGATCTAGAGGAGGCTTTAGGCTGGCCCAACAACCAGATACAAACAATTGTGAGATGCTCCCAAAACCAGGAGTCAAGAAAAATAAGAAAGCAAAGGGTCCAAAGGCCCCAGAGAAATAAACAAACAAAAAACAACCCCAGAGAACACTGAGAGCTGTACCTAAAGCTAACTTGTACTGGGTACTCTAAACTTTCAAGGAGGCCAGAGCAGGAAGGGGAAAGGACACCCCTCTCCCACTGCCCCAGCACAAGAGAGGCACAGATCAGAAGGCTGGGCATGGGCTCTAGCCTCGGGTGAGGGGGTAAGCAGCTTGACAGTTACCCTGTGGCCTTCTGGGGGAAAATTCTGCCCAAGCCCAGAACCACAGAGAAAAGTTTGCATTCAAAGCCCAGGAAGGGCGCTACCTGGAAGGCCAGAGAACAATGGAGAATGGGGCTGTGCGAAGCACATGGCCAGGGCCCCAGGGCAGCTGGAGAGTGGGGTCTCCTTTAAAATGGCACGGTAGGCAGATTAAGGAGCCCTGGCTGTAATCCCTAGACTCCCCAATGCTAGTGGGTATGTTGCTAATGAGCAGATTATTTTGGCTACTGGGAGAAGAAGAGCCCTGAGGACGAAGCAGTGGGATCAGGCCTGAGAATTCTCAAATAGCCATTGTTACTGGTACTCAGCCTTTCCAGGCCCCTCTAATGAGCTCTCTAATCAGCAGGACCAAGGTATAGAGTGGGAATGAACATGGATCCATCCCAGAGGATGGAGTAGAAAGGTGAGCAGCCTATTTGTCTCTGATGTCAGCCTAGAGCTGGGAACAGTTTGTGAGGACTTAGCAGTTGTACCTGCAAAAGTTAATTAGTAATTCACTCTCAAGAGTGAATTAAGATAACAGGACAAAACGTAATCCAACAAGGCAAAGCCAGTGTGGGGTAAGGTAGGCACAGTTCCCTAATCAGTCCTTGGACCCCAGATGCAGGCTCTTCCCTCCCCTCCAACTCTTCTCTCTCGGAATAGCAGCAGACAGGAGGCAAGAGATTGTCACGGCAGGAACCTGCTGGACTAGGCTCTCAGCAACCCAGATCTTCTGTAGGGGAATACAGCCTGTGTCTCACCCCCAGCATTCTTCACTGTGTGACACAGTTTTCTCCCATGTCCTGGGCGTATCTGTCTGACATGGTGGTCCTTAAGTCCTCGATGTCGCGACGCAGCTGTTGAACCTCTTCTAATTTCCTCTTGATCACATCTGGCTTCTGCAAATCTAGCTGAGTCCCTGGATATTGTTGTGCCGCTGGGAAGAAGAGCATTTCAAGAGAATGTTAGTCAGTGGGGAGACAATTTCACGCAGATAGGCAGTACTCTGAAGCCCATGGTGTTTGGACAAGGCACTTTAAAAAAAGCAGCTGGGGATAGTGGGCTGGTAACTTGCTACTGAAGGCCTACTTTTAGTTTGTCCTCTATGAAGATACCCCATAAGGATGCCTGTTTCCAAAACAGGTTTACTGAACACCTACTTTGTGAAACACATAAACTTCCAGAGGGCAGTGACCAAGCCTATATACCCTGTCCACACTACTGTAAGAATGGGAAAGCTGGATGGGAGTAAGAAGAGAATGAAGGCTGACTCCTCTTTCCTGGGTCCCAGACTGGCCTAAGGACTCACAGTGAATGCCCAGGAGCAGGGAGAGATTGGGGTCATGGCCCTGGGCCCTCTGGGTCACAATGCTGCAGACAGCCTGCAGATCTTGAAGGCAACTGGCCAACTCCTGGTGCAGCTCAAGTGCCAGCTGGGCCATGTCTGGTGAAGATGGAGATCCTGGTTGGGCCTGGCGCAGGTGTTCCTGGAGCGTCAGATTCTTCTCAATCAGGTCCTGGTTTTGCACTGAAAGCTGAGCAGATAAGATGGGCTAGCACGTCAATTCAGGCCCAGGGAGAGGAAGAGTATCTGTGTATGAGTGTGCATGGTGTGGATGTATGTGTGTGGAGGGGAAGGGATGAGTCACAGGTGGGTTTCCCCTCCCCACATGACCCCTGCTAACAGGCTTGGCACTCTCCCCACCACCAAAATTAGGCTTGGTTCCTCCTGAGAGTAGGTTGGGCCCACAGGGTTCCAGCACTGGAGAAGAAGCCACTCTTCAATCATGTTCTGAGTCATCAGCCTCCAGGTTTCTGTTCAGGAACCAGAGAAGATGCTCCCTTTCCTAGGAACTCTATCTGAAGCCAGTCCCTCAGCCAACTCTGTTAGCCAGGCTATTAGAGAAGGCTTAATGAGAACTGTGAAATCTGAGGAGACACTGGTTTCAATCTCTCCCTGCCACCCTGACAAAAGTGGCCACCAGCCAGCCTGATCACTGTGTATCAGAGGAATAAAGGGGGCAAGAAGGACAATATGAAAGCTAGTGGCCAATGGCTGTGCGATTGAAAAAGCTGGGGACCTGGAGGATCCAGTGCAGGAATGTGTTCTGCCTTTTCAAACCCTCTCACCTCAGTGGAGTTAGGCTTCACTACAAAGACCAGCTATTCGTGTATGTCTAGATAGCTCCCTCTCCCTGACAGCTTAATCCACTCTTCTTCCCTCTCTACCTTTATTCTGTTTTAAAGAACTCTGAATAGAGTTCCTCCTCCAGTCCCAGCTCTCCACCCACACTGGGCCATGTCATAATCCTAGCTCTACCAGACTCCTTCTTAGGCACTTGGCCAGTGAACTCGGTCGCCCCCTGCTGACCGCTCTGTTTACTGCATGAGGACCACCAAACCCTCAGTCTCCTTGAATCCTCCCTCCCCAACTCCACAAACCTGTGACTGCAGGCAGACAAAGGGAGAGAGAATGACTTTCCACATCCAAAAAACATTCCTGAGTAATTACGGACCCTCTGAAACAGGCTTAGAGCCTTTAATATAAAGGATGATGCAATACACCTTCCCATTCTTCTGTCCAAAAAGCTTAGTAGGGACCTCTCAGCACTGGGGCTCTTATGCGGGTAGGGATGGGGAGGGCAGACAAAGAAATCAGGTTTGTGGAGACAGTATCAAGAGGCCTAGCTGATGCTGCTCACCTCCTTCACGGCTGTGCGCAGCTGCTGGAGGGCTGCATCCCTCCGCTGGGCCTCCTCTCTCAGGGCCTGGCTTGTTCCTTCTTCTTGAGCCACTTCTTGCTCTAGGCTCTGAATCCCATGGCAAGGTGTTGAGAGAGAACACATCAGGGATAACAAGTCTGGTTTAGACCGTATCATGCTGGCCTGTACTATAATGAAGTCCGTCCTTACCCCCACATTGCTGCTAAGAGATTATTTTAGAACAGCCCTCATTTCTGACTTCCCACTTAAACCCTCCTATACAGCCCCTGACCATGTACAAATAGACACCAGCTTCTTGGCAGAGCCTTCCAGGCCATTCTGGCTCCTACTTTTCTAGCCGTTATCTCATTCCACCCTCTATAGTAGCCACGCTGAATGGCTGCTTCAGTGCCTTTACTTGCTCCTCTTCTCCTTTGCTCAAGCTGCTCTTTTGCTCTGCCTCCAGGAAATCCCCAAGGCCCATCTGAGCCTTCTTCAATCTACACATCAGATCCAATTCATCCTAATCCTACCCTGCCACTCATACCTCCCTCATGGCTCACAAGGACATCTGCTTAGTATTCTACTTGGCTGTGCACATGATTTCTTCCTCCAAACATAACTTTCTTGAGGGCAGGGACTGTGCCATTCAGTTTAATTCAATATTTATTGAGCACTTACTATGACAGGCACTGAGGATAATGAACAGAACACCAAACAGTCTCTGTCTTTGAGGAGTTAACCGTCAAGTGTCCTTGACAACACTGTGTATTAAGTGCTTTTGACAGACATGGGAAGGGCTAAGAGAACACACTCACAGGCACCTAATCTAGAATGAGTCATGTGTTTATGTGTGATGTGTGTGTGTGTGTAGGGGTGGTTAGGGTCAGCGGGAGGGAGGTATTTATGTTTTTTAGCTTCTGCTTCTCTCACTCTATTCATTATAATTTTCTCCCAATTTTGAAACTGCCCTGAACAACAAAAGTGTAAAAAAATTTTCTTTAATTTTCCCATTTTGTATTAATAAAAAAATATATAACTGCCAAGAATACCTCATAATCATGAAATACCCAGGGTGATCATGATGAATCCATCTAATTCCAGCAAATTCACCTGATATTTTAATTTGCCTAAGTAGTCTCATCATAGATAAATGTCCCGTTTAAAATGTTGGGTTTTTTTGACCTCTGTAGAATCTTAGGGTTCCAGGAAATCTACTTTGAAATCCATTAGAAACTCTATGAAAAACCTGGGATTTTTAAATGGGTATATAAAATGCTTACCAGGCTTGACTGTCTCCTTACAGGACTTGAAAGAGGTGAACTAAAAAGACATAACCCAACCCACATAATGGCAAAGGCAGGACTACAGCCTTCAGCTGTTCCTCAGAGCAAGTGCATTTCAGGTGTTTTGGTGTGAAAACTTTTACGAAGAGCACCTGGGTGAACTTACTTTACCCAGGATTTCTTGGAGAACCCAATTAAGGACACTCCCATTCTGGCCCAAAATAGAAACCACAAGTCATCTTTGATTCTTCCCTATTCTTCAACCCCTACCATCCTGTCAGTCACTGATTCCTCTCAGTTTTGCCTCCTAAAGTCACTTAAATCTGTCGCCTCACATTTCCTCCCTGCTAATGCCAGGTTCTCTCATCATCTCTGACTAGATTTTCTGCCAACGGTCCTTGGTCTTTCCTCTCTCCAAGCTGCCAATCTTCTTCCACACTCAAGCCTGAGTTGCAAACCAGACCATATCACATCCCAATTAAATGCTGTAACAGATGCCCATCACCTACCTAAAGAATAAAAGCTAACTACACAGTGCAAGGCCCTCCCATAGCCTAGAATGCCCAGGCCCCTATTCACCACCTTAAACCAAATACTTCAATATTAAACTGTTGCAGTTCCATGTTCAAACATGCTGCTTCATGCCTACAAGTTCCTAATCACGCTGTTCCTCCTATTTGGAATTCCAACACCATCCTGTCCAGCTCCTCTTCTCTGCCTGGCTAACTTATCCTTCAAAACTCAGGATCTCTCGAAACCTTTCCTTGACCTCCGCTCCTCTCACTGACACTTCTGTGCTCCCCCAGGGTAATGTGGGCATTGCTCTCATAGTACTGTGAGAAACTCGTAACATATTTGTATCCTCCTAAAAAGGCTGAAAAGCACTGATCGGGTCTCATTCTTCTTGTATCCCTAACACTGAGCAAACTGCATGGCAGAGAACAAAATTAAATGTTAGCTAAATTCTAGAGGTTCCATCATTAAGTCCTACCCCCCATGTCCCAAGGATTCCTACTCACCTGTACTTGTGAGCGCAACTGATCCATCTTTTGCTGTTGCTTCTCCACAATCTGAAAGGCAAAGTTATCAAGGAAGGCTGCAAGCATAGGGCTGATGGTGAGGTCAAAGGGCAAAGAGCTGCACTAGGATCTGTGTGGTCTGGCTATAAGCCCCACTGGCTATAGTCCATTAATAGTGAGACCTGGGTGAAGACTAGTTAGCTCTACCTACAGAAATATAACCCAGACTTCCCATCTTGGCACACTACCTTCACACTTCTGTTCTCCAATCATAAAGGTTTGTATAGGAATGTAGTGTAGACCCATGACTGCCACTGGGGCAAAGGGGACACTCACCATAATGACTGTAGGCCAGTGGAATCAATTTTATATATAGCCAGGGCATATTATGGTTCTTTGGGAAAGGACATGACTAAAAATCCAGTTTATCGAAGACTGCCATTTCCAGGGCTGTAATGGTTGTTGGTATTATAATTCTGGTCAGACCGTCTTTCCAACAAGAGACCCTGAACGGGTCTGACTTCTTTTAAGACTGCAGGTATTTGTTGAATCATTTCTTTTTTCTTTTTTGGAGACAAGGTCTCACTATTTTTGGCCCAGGCTGGGCCTGAACTTGAGATCCTCCCACCTCAGCCTCCCGAGTAGCTGGGACTACAAGCCATGCCCAGCTTCTCTGACTAATTTCTTGGTCTTTTTTACTAACCTGCGATCAATTTCATCATCAGGCCCCTGACTCCTTCTTCTCTGCTGAATTGAGAAATGAGGCTACCTCACTGGTTAGAACTCTGCCCAATGTAAGAGGTTCTATATGGACCTGAGCCATGAATGAAGTGCACATTTTAGTGCACCATTTTGGGTCTAGTCTGGATGTTCAGAGACATATGCCCCTCCACTTATTTTTGCCTATATTCTAGATGAGTAAAGTTTGCCTGTTATAAGGATGAATATCTAAATGCAAACTTATTATACAGGGACAACTTCTCAGAAAACAAAGAAAAGCTCTTGGTAGCAAATCCTAGGTATGCCAAGGCCAGGAATTCATGGTTCCTTCCCACAGTTCCTTCGAATCTTCTCTTTCCTCTAAGCCTACCCCACCAATACAGCCTGGACACCTTCAGTCACCTTTTGGAGGGAATCACATTCCTTCTGCCAGGACTGCATTTCCACTTTTGGACCTTCTCCACTGTTGTCCTCCATAGACTGCTTATCTTGCAGGCTGAAAGACAGTGGCCTCTTTAAGAACTTTGAAGTCAGAAAGATCTGGCTTTGAGGAGTTCTGCTATTTATTTTATGTTTGGGACAAGACACTTAAGGCCTTCCAAGCTGTAGCTGGGGATATCTTAGGTCTGTTGTAATGCAAGGGGTGCCACATAGAAGCTGCTCAGTGTATATTAGTTTTCTTCCCTGGGGTCAGAATCTATACAGTGTGACATCAATTCTCTACCAGCTCAAGGCTCTTGTATTCTTTGATTTGATATTTAAAAAATAAACATTTATCACATGTATTTAGATCATAAGTCACATACATACACATTTTAGAAATTCTGGAAAATACAAGAGCTCCTTTTTTCTTGGTACACACAGTCTGGGGCAAAGCCAACTTTGTCCCCTAACCCCACTTCTGACTCCAACTAATGGTCTCCTTCCATGGGTCTCCACAATCACTTATAGCATGGCCCTCTGCTACGATAAACAACAGGAACATTATGGTTAAATATGGGATGAGAAATCCAATCTACCCTATTAGAAATTGGACTTAGTCCAAGAGGCTGTTGAAGAATAGCCATTATTTTCAGAAACTGCTATTAATATCGAAGAGGCTCCCAAGACACTTGGAGAGTACATTACAGCATCTTGTTTTGTTCTCAGAACCTGTTATGGCAATAGAGAGCAATCCCTAGGGCTGAGGACAAACAGATGCTCCTGGTAGCCTTTAGCTTATTAGGTTCAAAATACAATAACCCTCAGTCCTCAGCGCCAGTATCCACTTTGAAAATTATATATAGATACCTAACTTCTCAGTTTATAAAGTGCTTTCATTCATTAACACATACATACTCAAGAACTGTTATGTGCTAGGCACTGGGCTGGATCCTTCCAAAGGATACAATAAGCCTCCACTGCATCCCAAAGACATATTCTCTGCCTATAAGCAGTTTTCCCTTTATTCACAGTCCAAAGAAAAGGAAGCTCAGAGAAGTAAAATGATTTGCTCAAGTCACCCAGTCACACAGATAAGTGACCTGGGTAGCCAGGATCAGAAACTAGCCCTCCACTCCTTTCCTCAATCCCACAGTAGTATTTACCTATGTTTAGTGGAGGAGAATTTTGCTTCTGTCTGTCTCAGACTTTCCAGTTGAACCTCCTTCTCTCTGCAGATTGCCTGTGTTTCCTCCAGCAAATTCTCCAGCTCATTCACTTTCTCCTGCAGCTCTGTGCTCTTCAATTCAGAATCCTTAAGCTGAGACACAGGATCCCATGCTTACGTCAATAAGCCAAGTAAGAGGTTTGGTTAACTCAAAAAATTTGCAGTCCAGTTGCAAATCTGACAGATGTGAATCTGGACATGACTGTTTTGGGATTCTCCTTCCTTTCAGGAAGCCACAGGGTAACTGCATACAGCAGATGCTCAAGAAATTCCCCTACTTGGCCCCTCCCTGATTGCCCCAGGTATGCCCAGACATTGCTGCTACCTGCTGGCTCTGCTTCTGATGGTCTTCCAGAGTGGGCAGGTCAGCCAGGTAGCGCTCCAAGGTCTCAATACGCTGTTGCTTCTCTCTGTTCTGTTCTGATTCCTTCTGACATTTCTTTTTCAAATTATTGATATGTTTATCACGACCCTTGACCTAGGGAAAGAAATGTTAAGGGTCTGTCTCCATTCCCTCCTCTAGGACCTTGAACATCAACTTTTGTTGAAGTGACCACTGTTTCTGCCTGTGGAGCTGTGAAAGTTGTTCTACTACAATGAAGGCAGGAAGAGGATCAAATTTTGCCATTTGGGATTAGGGCATAAACTGCAGAGATAGCAAATTTGAACTTTCCAATCAAGGGCAGAGAATAATGGCTTCTCGGACAGCTTTAAAAATTGATAGCGCTTCTGTTATATAATAATTTGTTTGGACTTTGTCCCAGGTTCCTGGGAGATAACCTCTAAGCCCTTGTGATTTCCTGAATAACAGGACAAGAGTGGGCCAGAGCACACCATGAATACATTTATGCTAATAAGATGACTCAGAATGAGGGCTGTTCATCTGAAAAACCAACTACTTTGAGCCTAATCTACTATGGGGAGGGGTAACGCAAGGGACCTTGAGTTCAATCATACCTACATAAATGAAACTCCAATAAAAACTCTAGACACCAAAGCTCAGTGGAGCTTCCTGGTTGGTGAACACACAGATGTGCTGTGTTTACATGCCCTGATTCCATAGGGAGAGGGCATGGAAGCTCTGCTTTCAGGATCATCCGAGACCTCACCCAATGTCTCTCTTCATTTGGCTGTCCTGAATAGTATCCTTTATAACTGTGGTCCCCAAGCCCCAGGCGTGGACTGGTATTGGTCCGTGGCCTGTTAGGAACCAGGCCACACAGCAGGAGGTGATTGGCCGGCAAGCAAGTAAAGCTTCATCTGTATTTACAGGTGCTCCCCATTGCTCCATCACTGCATAAGCTCTGCCTCCTGCCAGATCTCATAGATTCTGAGACTCTCATAGGCATTAGATTCTCATAGGAGCATAAACCCTACTGTAAACTGCATACGAGGGATCCAGGTTGTGCACTCCCTTATGAGAATCTAACGCCTGATGATCTGAGGTGGAGCTCAGGTGGTGATGCTAGCGCTGGGGAGTGGCTGCAAATACAGATTATCATTAGCAGAGAGGTGTGACTGCACGATAAATGTAATGCACTTGAATCATCCTGAAACCATTCCCTCTTCACTCCCCATCATCTGTGGAAAAATTATCTTCCAGAAACTGGTCCCTGGTACCAAAAACATCGGGGACTGCTGCTGTATAATAAAACTACAATTGTAAGTTTAGTGTTTTCCTGAGTTCTGTGAGTCATTCTAGGGAATTATTGAACTTGAAGAGGTCATGGAAATCTACAGATTTATAGCCAGTTGGTCATAAATATGTGTAGCCCGGAGATCCCAAGATTTGCAGTTGACATCTGAAATAAACAGTCTTATTGGGGACTGTGCCCTTAAACCTCTGAAGTCTGATGCTAACTCCAGGTGGTCTGTACCAGAATTGAATTGCAATAGTATATACATAACTTCTTAAAAGACGTATCACCAGTCTGGTCTGTTCTGGTGAGAAAGGTAACACATTCTTCCCTAAACACTACACTGCTATAAAGCCAAGCAATCATCTGGTAGGGCTAATGAGACTTTAGAGGAAGAGCTGTGTCCATTTTGCTAATTATCATATCCATAACACACAGCAGATGCTTGGCATAGAGCAGGTACTCAATGAAGATTTGGTGAATGAAGACTATTTCTTTATTATTATGCTTTTTTTGGCTTATGAACAAGGAAGCTGGAGGAAGCAAGAGAAAACAGAGAGAGAGTGATGCAGACCCACTAATGTCAAAGAGGAGGCACAGGCCTAATTTTGTGCAAAGATATGATAATACTAAGAAAGATCCCTGAATATCAGTCAAAAGCTTTATCCCGGCCGGGCGCGGTGGCTCACGCCTGTAATCCCAGCACTCTGGGAGGCCGAGGTAGGTGGATCGCTCAAGGTCAGGAGTTTGAGACCAGCCTGAGCAAGAG